TCTGTACTGGAAGAAGGCAGCCAGCCACCTAGCAGGCCTTGGTTGCCCAGGCAACCAACCACACAACATTCCGTTGCCTGCCTAAGGCCCGGGGCATCCATCCTGGGAGGGAGAAGACGGGGGTAGCTGGGAGGGGAGCAGGCTTTGCCGGTTCCAGAGACGGCTTTTACTCCCAATCTAAACTGGGGTGCAATGAGGAGGAGGTGGGTCCCTCAGCCAAAAATTTACCCTTTTGGTGCCCTGTGTCTGGTCAAGCCTCTTCCTGGCTGGGTGGGATGAGACGCCTCTCTCGTGGCTGTATACTCAGTTGTCCGTTCAAAAGAATAATTATTGGGCACCCACTGTTTGCAGGGTCATTCACTCCCTGGCAAGGTGCTGAGGGCCTACTATGTTGCAGCTCTTTGAGGGTCAATCCTTTTGCTACCCTGGCCAAGTCTCATGGAACCTCCCAGCCTGGTTAGGGCGATCAGCACCACCGAGTGGAGAGCAGCTTGGAAGGGTCCCATGATCTAGATTTGGAGGATAGGGGAGGGGGGGAGCTGACATACTTTGGGCAATTACTGTTGCTCAGGCACAGAGAGCTAAGCGCTCTCTATATAATATCAATTTAATTCTTAAAACAGCACTCCAGGGGATGGTATTAGGGAAAAGTGCCCAGAGTAATACCCCTGGGTCCTCCACCCAGAAATAACACATGCTAACATCTCATCATCTTTGCTTTCTATCGTTTTAGTTTTCTGTTTTAAATAATTTTTTCATGTAAAGAAAGGCATTTTCTTATTGTAGAATAACACTATTAGAAAAAAAAAACTATACTTATAATGCCTACATTCTTAAAAACAACTCCTAAGCATTTTGTTTGAGCGTATTTTTTTTTTAAGATTTTTTTTAAAATTTTATTTATTTGAGAGAGAGAGAGAGCACATGAGAGGGGGGAGGGTCAGAGGGAGAAGCAGACTCCCTGCCGAGCAGGGAGCCCGATGCGGGACTTGATCCCGGGACTCCAGGATCATGACCTGAGCCGAAGGCAGTTGCTCAACCAACTGAGCCACCCAGGCGCCCTTGAGCGTATTTTTAGAAAGGAGCTAAAATAATATATATTTTCTCTTTGAGCATGTTACATTGAATTGCACATATATCCTTCTACATAAATTGATGTGAAGAGTTATAAGATACACGGCCTAATTTTTTCTTGATTTAAAAATATTGAGGTATATACTCTGGTTTCTCTTCAGATCGTATAAATCTTTTGCCTTTTAAAAATATTGAGGTATAATTCACATAATGTAAACTTCATTTTTTTTCTCACATACGGTTCTGTGGGTTTTGGTAAATGTGTAAAGTCCTGTAACCACCACCACAGCCAAGATACAGAATGTTTCCATCACCCCCAGAAGTCCCCATGCTCCTTCATAATCAACCCTGTCCCCACCCCAGCCCCTGGCAACCACTGACCTGTTCTCTGTCCCAATAGGTGTGCCTTTTCCAGAATATTGGAAATGGAATTCTATACTTAGTGGCCGCTTGAATCTGGCTTCTGTAACCCAGAAATGTTCATCAGAGATTCATTCATGTCGACACGTGTAGCCATATTTCATTCTTTTTCATTGCTGAGTAGTATTTGATTATATATCATGGTTTGTTAATTCAGCCTCCAGCTGGGTCATCTCTAGTTCTGGGCAATTACAAATATAGCCTGTGTTCACGTACAGTTTTTTGTGTGAGCATAAGCTTTCATTCTGCTCTGTATAAATATGTAGGAGCAGGATTGCTGAGTCATATGGTAAGTCTATGTCTAACTGTATAAAAAAACTGCTGACTTTTTCCAAGTGGCTGTATCATTTTTATATTCACACCAGCGATGCATGAGCGGTCTCATTACTCCGTATCCTTTTTTTTTTTTTTTAAGATTTTTATTTTATTTTGTTTATTTGACAGAGAGCGACACAGCGAGAGAGGGAACACAAGCAGGGGGAGTGGGAGCGGGAGAAGCAGGCTTCCCGCAGAGCAGGGAGCCCGATGCGGGGCTCCATCCCAGGACCCTGGGATCATGACCTGAGCAGAAGGCAGATGCTTAATGACTGAGCCACCCGGGCGCCCCATTACTCCATGTCCTTGCCAGCAGTTGGTATTGGTAGGTTTTTAAAAAGTCATTCTAATAGATGTGTAGCTCCTGGAAGATTTTTTTTTTTTTTTTTTTTTTTTAGAGACCATTGTAGATTCTCATGCTGTTGAAGAAATAACACAGAGAGATCCCAATTCCCTCCACCCCGTTTCCCCCAGTGGTTCCATCTTGCACACTACAGTACAATATCACCACCAAGAAACTGGCTTCGATACAATCCACCAACCTAATTCAGATCTCACAGTTTTACATGCGCTCCTGTGTGTGTATGTATGTGTATTTAGTTCTATGCAAAGTTATCACACGTGGACTCCTGTGACAGCTACAATCAAGCTACATACAGAACGTTTCTCATAGGGATCCTTCATGCTATCCTTTGCTAGGACCATCTCCCTCCCTCCTGCCTCCCTAACCCCTGTCAATTATGTATCTGTTCTCCATCTGTACAGTTTTGTTTCCTCAAGGATGTTATATAAGTGGAATTGCACAATATGTAACCTTTGAGACTGGCTTTTTCACTCAGCTTAATTCTCTTGAGATCCATCCTGCTGGCTACACGCATCAGTGTTTATTCTTTTTGATCGCCGAGTAGCATGCCATGAGATGGATGTGCTGCGGTCGGTGAAGCATTCAGGTAGAAGGACATTTGGGTTATTTGCAGTTTGGGGCTCTCATGAATAACTACTGTGAAGATTTGTGTCCTGGTTTTTGTGTGAGTGTAAGTTTTCATCCCTCCAGGATAGATGCCCATGAGTACAATTGTGTTGTTTGTTTTTTTTTTTAAAGATTTTATTTATTTATTCTTGAGAGGTAGAGAGAGAGAGGCAGAGGCAGAGGGAGAAGCAGGCTCCCCGCAGAACAAGGAGCCCGATGCGGCACTCGATCCCAGGACCCTGGGATCATGACCTGAGCCGAAGGCAGACGCTTAACCAACTGAGCCACCCAGGCGTCCCCATGAGTACAATTGTTAAGGAAGCTGCTCGAGTCTTTTCCAGAGTGGCTGTGCCACTTTAAATTCCCACTGACAGTGTAAGAGTGATCCAGCTTTTCTGCATCCTCACAGTCATCACCATTTTTTTTTTAAGATTTTATTTATTTAATTGACAGAGACAGCGGGGGAGGGAACACAAGCAGGGGGAGTGGGAGAGGGAGAAGCAGGCCTCCCGCCGAGCAGGGAGCCCAACATGGGACTCGATCCCAGGACCCTGGGATCATGACCTGAGCCGAAGGCAGACGCTTAACCGACTGAGCCACCCAGGTGCCCCGGTCATCACCATTTTTGATTTAGCCATTCTGATAGGTGTGCGGTGATGTCTCATTGTGGGTTTACTTGGCATTTCTCTACTGGCTGTGATGATGATGAACATCTTTTCGTGTGCTTCTTTGACATCTGTATATCCTCTTCAGCAAAATATCTGTTCATATCTGTTGCCTATGTTCTAACGCATTGCTCTTAGCTGTTGAGTTTTGAGAACTTCTTTACATATTCTAGATACGGGTCTTGATGTTCCAGACAATCCTCTGTTGGATATTTTTTCCCAGGCTGTAGCTGATCTTTTCATTCTTATCACACGGTCTTTTGCAAAACAAGGTTTTCAATCTTGGTGATCCGATTTGCCACTTTTTCCTTCACGCATCGTGTCAAGTCTAAGGTGAGATTTGAACTTGGGCCACCTGGGTGTGGAGTCCACCCTCTTAATCACAATACTCCAGATACAGTTGAGCCCTTCTTGGATCTTTCCCTCCTCAGGCTCATTCCCTTCCTTCCCTCCTCAGAGGATGTCATCATCTTGAAGCTAGTATGCATCCTTCCCTTTTGAGTTTTTATTTTGTTAGAGGCGTTTTTTCGGGGGCAAATGTTTACTGAGCACCTACTCTGTACCAGGCAGTGTGTGAGGATACAGCAGTGGATGAGGCAGAACCTGCCCTCATGGGGCGTACAGGCTGATGGTGAAGCCAGGGGGAAAAGTCTAGGGTGCAAGTTGCAGGGAGGGAAGTCTCTTTGAGGCAGTAACATGTGAACCCCGACCTGAAGGATGAGGAGGGATGAGAAGAAGAAAGGAAAAGTATTCCAAGTAGAGGGAACAGCACGTGCAAAGGCCCTGAGGCAGGAGGGTGGGGCCCCCTCCTCACAAAGAGAACAAAGGTCTGTAGGTTGCTGTGCAGAATTCAAGGATGATGAGATAGGTCCTGACTGGAGAGGGCCAAGGAGGGGCGAGACCTGTGACCAGTAACAGATGAGGGAACTGAGGCCCAGGGGAGGTAAGTGACCCTCCGAGGACGTGAGGCTGAGAAGTGATGGATGGGCCTTGGTTTTGTTTTTAGAGATAACCCGTCCCTGCCTTGGAACTGCTCATGGCTTCGAGGAGAGGAGAAGGTCCCTACACAAACAACCTGTCTTCAGAAGGCTGAAGCTATTGGGTCCACACCCCAGGCCTCAGCATTTCTGTTTTAAATGGGGCATTGCTTTCAGGTCCTCTTGGGGCTCCCCTGTCATGCTGCTGGGGCAGAGGTCCCAAACCCCCACCTGGGTCTGTCCCCACATCCTGGGAGATACGGTGAGTGGGGCTGCTGAGTGACAGCGGGACACAGCTTCTCAGCCGGCCTTGCCCTTGGCCACAGCTCTGGAAATATCCACTCTCCCCACCCCCAAGTCTCATGCTCGGGTGGTTTCCCCCTTCCTACTTCTCCATTCCAAGGCGGGGGTGGGGGGGTGCATCTTGGGGAGTAGGCCTGAGGAAGGAGGAAGCAGCAGGTCAGACCGACAGGCTACCTTGTTTCAGGCTGTGGGAGGAGGGGACTTACTGCTTCCTCGGCAGCCAGCCCACGGGAGGGGTTCGTGGAAATCCTGCCCACTCCTCCCACCTCAGCCTCCTGTCCTACGTGGCTCCCGGCCCAGAAGCGTGCCCAGCGATCACAAATGGGGCTTTGTGTTCCCGAGACAAAGAACACACTCCTCACCCCCAACCTGGGCCAGGGCTTGTCTGCCTTGCCACATCCTTGGCCTCGGAAGGGATGGTGCCACTTCCCAGGAGGGGAAACTGAGGTCTAGAGACAGGTCTGTGGAGCCAGAAGAAGGGTCTGCCCCTGGTTTGGGGGTAGAGGTGGAGCAGAGAGGCGGTAAGTTGGCAGTGACGAAGCTGCCATCCTAGGCACTGAGTTGGGGGGAGGAAGTAAGAAATAATACAACTATTATCACCACGAGAGAGGCCAGATTCCAGCCCTGGAGGGGAACAGAATTCTGTTTAACCCAGCGAGTGCGTTCTGAGTCTTTCTTATGTGCCAAGCGGTGTGGGAGGCGCGGCATGAATCAGACATTGTCCCTGACATTTAAGAGATAAGACGAGCGTGTAAAATACCACAGAACAAGAGAACAGGAGACCAGGGTCACAGAATGGTGCCAACAGGCAGGGGTGGGGGGGTGGGCGTGGGGAGTGGTCGTCGCTGCCTTCCCGGAGGCTGTGGGCCATCAACAAAGCCGGGGCAGTGGTGCCTTCAGAAACGGGAGGGGGCACGGAGTATTTTCTGAGGATAAAAAGCAGCACAATTATGTCTAGGAAAGCTCTCTGCTGCTGGGGACTCTGATGTCTGCTCTGTCATCTGCGTATCACTTCCTACTTCCTACTGAGAGTGTATTCTTCAGTGGCAAGCGATTTTTGTCAGTTCCCCACGCGCCTGAGAGCCCCAGGAGAGCAGGGCTGGGCGGTCTTGTACCCCGCTGCATCCCCACTGCTTGGCACACAGTGGGCACTCGACACAGATCTGCCGAATAAAAGGAATATTCATACGAAGCATATACATATGACATTTTGTGGCATCAGGATGCTGCTGTGGAGATGGTCGTGTTTGCCCCATCACTTTGGTTTTCTTTTTTTCAGCATTTTTTCCCGTCATTCCCAGTCTTTGAGCATATCCTTTCTAACAGCTATGTCGTAGTCCCGTGACATTGACACGACATCGTCTGTACTTTGTTCGCTCTACCCCTCCTCATCTTTATCCAATTGTATGGGTGGGAGATCAACAAGGAAACAGGAAAAGGAGGGGGAGGGCTTTCCTGATGGAAGGCAGGACAGGGCGAGGGCACTGTGGGTGTGGGGTGAGGGGATATGAGCAAAATCTTAAGAGTGTTAAGTGGCGTCTAGAAGGCTATGTGGCTGGGGAATCTGGTGCCCGGTGTTGTGTTGTTAAACTGACCCTCCCACCCCCCCACCCCCTGCCTTGTAGCAGTTGCCGGTTTCCATGGGGGTAAATTCTCCTGCCATGGACGGTGTCACGTTCCCACTGTGGCGTTGCTGAACACCGAGGTAGAAAGCCATGGCTACAGCCATCCTTGACCTTGGGATCTCTCGATCAGATTTCTCAGCTGAGATGCAAAGCCCCAGATTCTTCCTGCGCAGCAGCCTGGAGCCGCGGTGGCTACTGAGGTGTGGTTGCGCCATCTGTCCCCGGAATTCGGGGTGGGGTCTGGTGTTCCACTTCGGGGAGCTCGGTGTCAGGTATGGCCGTGGGTTCAGGATGTCCTACTATGGCCGCGACTCTTACTGAGCCCTTGCTGTATGCCAGGGTGTGTTGAACATCTGACTTTTTCCTCATCCCATCCTCACACCCAGGAGATGAGGTGGGTGCTGTTATTAATCCCCAATTTACAGACAAGGAAACCGAGGCACCCAGAGGGTGCCCGAGAACAGCCAGCTCATAAGTGTAGGTGCCACGATTCAGTCCCAGGTTGGCTTGGCTGGATGCTAGAACCTCTGCTCTTAACCCCTGAGCTCAGCGTCTCCTGCTACTGAAGGTGTTCTGCAGCTCTTGTGAGCATCCCAGCGGTGCTAGGCTAGGTAGAGAGCTGGCAAGAAGATGATCATGGGTTTGTCTTTAAGGGCTTCGAGGAAGGGGAAAGAGAGGAGGCTAACCATTTCTTGAGCACCTACTATGTGCCAGGAATGATGCCAGGTGCCTTACACGGCCTCTGGATCAACTCTCACAACAACCCTTGAGAAAGGTGAGACCCTTCCCACATGACAGCCCAGGCTTGGGTGCTCATGAGCCCACCTTCCCCTCCCCGAGCTGGGTAGCCCCCAGCAGGTCACACTCTTTCTCTCCGCCTCCTTCACCCTTTGGTGCCCTGACGGGAGATGCCCTGGGAGACCTCAAACCCTCTGCCAGTTTCAAGTCAAAACTTCTCAGAACAACAGGAAGTGGCCAAGCCATTCGGAAAGTTTGAGGACTGTGGCCACAGCCCCAGACGCATTTCAGGGTCCATATCCGGTTATTGGACAAGTGCCAGAGCTAGCTCCCTGGAGGCCTGGCTGGCACATTCCATAGCTTTCATAACCTTCCTGGGGACCTGGGGAGGGGCATTTGGGAATGAGACTTCCTGCTCAGCTCCGGAAGACTGGCCGAGTTGGCTGGTGGCGGTTTGGCTGGCATCCCAGGTGGCCCCAGGACCTAGCCCCTCAGGTTCCATCAGGGGTCTCTGGGGGCCGGAGAGCCTATCTGAGATCTCTGCAGGATCTCAGAAGAAAAAGGGTTAGCCAAAAGCTCTCACCTAGGTGGGGGTGGGAAAGGGACAGGGCGCCTATCTTGAAGTAGCATGCACTTAGCAAGTATTGGTTTCCCCTGGTAAGGAATCGGGGGCTGCTTAGTAAGGCACCTGGAGGGTGTTGGTGTTTTAACACTCCCTTGGGGCTACCGCGGTTCTGGATTTGACCCTGGATCACCTCTCGTACCCTGCTGAAGGATGCTGCAATACTTCTAAGCCTTGGGGCCAGCCCTGCTAGACCCATAGCCCAGATGGGGTAACTGAGGCCCAGTCTTTGGAAGTTGGAGGACTCCGCAGGTAGCGGACAGCTGGGGAGAGAACTCCAGGGATCAGAACCCCTTACCAGCTTGGCTGGAGTGCCAGCTGGGAAGTCAAGGAGGGAGCTTGGGAGACAGATCACTGGCTACTCCTGTGGCTGTTCTGGGCCCTCCTGGTCCTGCCGGTCTGGGCATCGGCTGCGGTAATCATTCGGCTGGGGCCTCCCCATTGGTGCCCAGCCCTGGGCTGACCAAAGTGAGTCAGGCTTGGTGCCAGTTCTTCCAAGAACTCTTAGGAGGGTAAACAACAAACTCACGGGGAGAAATAGTGTAAGGATCTATCCTGGGACAGGCTCTTCCTGTAGCATTGTTTCAAATGTGTTTGTCAAACTCCAAGTTTTGACACTTGAAAAATGTACAACCCTGGAGCTGAGGAACCGAGAAAAAGAGAAGAAAACCTCTGTCTGGGGTGGAAGGGCATCTTCGAAGCCTCCCTAGGAGAGATGATGTTTGAGTTATGCCTCGAAGGACAATAATAATAATAACAATAACAATAATAATAATATCAAATGCTTTTTATAAGCTTCTTATGTGCCTGTGACTGTTTTGGGACCTGTATCTGCTTCTTTCATATCTGCTTTATGTCATCGAATTCTCTCAAAACCCTGTGAGCAAAATACTATGTTATTCCTATTGAACAGATGAGGAAAGCAAGCCAAGGCACAGAGAGGTTAAGTGACTTGCTCAAGACCACACAGCTAGCAAGAGGTAGAGTCAGGATTCAAATCCAGGAAGGCAAGCCAGTCACTGCCTGAGGCCTTCCCTGAGCTATCTAATCCCTCTGAACCCGTTTCTTTATGCATAAAATGGGGGCGATAGTGCAAGAGTACTTAGTGCGTAGAATTATGGTGAGGACAAAGAGGATACAATCCCCGGAAACCGCTTAGAGCAGTGCCTGGCACACAGTAAGTGTTCCAACAGTTGTAGATGACTTCTGTCACCGCCGTCGTGGTTATCTTCAGGCCTCCCCTCCCCCTCCGGCCGCGGCCGCCTCCCCCGCAGTGCCAGCCCGTGACGTGGGAGCTGCGGCTCGCACAGTCTGGGTTTAATTGGAAACTAAACGAGGAGGAAGGGGGTGTTCGGGGCCCCTCCCTTGACTCTGAACCGACCCCCCTACTCCCCCCGCCCCGGAATGTGCGACTCCCTCTTTAGCGACGCCTCCCGCCGACCGCGGGTACTGCTCCCGCACGGGGCACGGAGCGGGGACCGGGGAGGCGGCGCCGGGATGGGAGGCAGGGGAGGGCCGGGGAGGTGCGACTGTGCTGGAGGGAGGGCAGGCAGGGGACATGCCGGGTCTTCTGAGCCCCAGGTCAGCTCACCACGAGCCAGCGGCCGCGCCCGCCACGGCCGTGGGCCGCTCCCCACCTGGCAGTCAGCGCGCCCAGGTCTCCGCGGCCCGGGCGCTCGGGCGCGCTTGGCTGGGGTGCCGGCAGAGGGCGCGCGAGGGGGCCCGGGGACGGGCGGGGGCCACGCGGGAGGCGGGATTGGGGGGAGGGCCCTGGGCTGCCCCTCCCGCCCCCTGCCCGCCCACCCGGAGCTCCAGACTAGGAGGCACGAGCGGCGGGGGCCCCCTGCGCGCTCTGCCGCCTCCTACCTGTAGAGCCCGAGGGGCTCCCCCTCGCCGGACACCTATTCTTTCTCCTCCGGAAACCTCCCGCCTAGCTACCCGCGTCTCGCATAGGCGGCGCTGGGACCCCGGGACAGGGCGCCAGGCTCGCAGCTGGTGACATGTAGACGCGCCCTCCACGGTCCAGCCTCGGCACCTGGGCACCCTTCTGCCCGTAAAGTTTGGGGCTGGGCGCCATGGCCAAGAGCAGCTCCCTGAATGTCCGCGTGGTGGAGGGCCGGGCGCTGCCCGCCAAGGACGTGTGAGTACCCCGGGGCGAGTCGCGGGCGAGGGGCGCACCGGACATGGGATGGGGCCGGGGTCGCCCGTTCCGCGTGCCGGGGAGGGTGGGTGAGGTGGGCAGGGGGTTCTTGTCTAAGACACAGTATTGATGCAGATCCGCCTTCACGGGGCTAAAACCCCATGCCCATGGCTGTCCTAGTGGAAAGGGGCGCCCAGACTTAGCAGATACGCCACCCTGCTCCCCGGAAGGGGGGTGTCTTTGTTTCTAGGATGTACTAAAGGGGATTGGAGGGTCGGATTTTGTTGGAGCTGGGGAGGGCATGGGGGGGGTCCTCTTCCTTAGTTCAGGCAGGGTGGGTGCCTATCAAAAGAATCCTGGGAAGAAGGCCTAGAGCGCCGGTTGGCCTCAGCATTCCTCTGTGTCCGTCTGGTGTTTAGATTCAAAGACAGTCATCAGGTGGCCCACCAGCCAGGCCTGGGGGAGACTGGGGTCCTCTGGACCCAGAGCCCTGAGCTCCCCAGCGAGGAGCTCCCTGTGTGGCCTTCCCTGGATGCTGAGTGCCTTGAAGAGCCACCCCCCCACACACACACCGTAGCACCCTCTCCAGCCAGATGTGGTGGGGCCGGAGGACCCTTGGGCTCCTGTTGGTACCAGTCCTTGGCTCTGCTTCCTCCAGGGCTGAGTCAGCAGTTGCCGAATCAGCAGAATGGCAGGAGGGGTCCCCCTCCTGCTTGGCCTGGAGCCCAGAAGGGGCTGTGAGGTGTCAGCACCTGGGACAGGTGTGGGATCCTTGGCAGGACATCAGCTGTGTGACCTTGAACATGGTCCTCTTGGATCTCGATTTCCCACCTGGACAATGGGAGCTCTGGACAGGATCCACCCAGCCCAGAGCAGCTGAGGGGGGTGGAGAACCTGTTAGGATTTACCCCATGGCCAGGGTGAGCAGAAATCTGGATTCTGAGCCTTTACCCAAGTTGAGATAAGGGCTTAGATATGCCCTGACTCCCCCAGCTGTGGGTCCCCAGTGAGGAGTCTCCTGCCTTTGATTTTATGAACCTCGCCCCTCCCCAACCCTGGGCTGCCGAGAGCAGTTTTAGCTTCCCCTCATCCTCATCAGCTACCCCAAATAAACATGCACCTGGGATAGAAGCAGAGCACTTGCTGTGTGAATGTAGCATCTGGACAAGCCCCTGCTTCCCTCTTCTGGGACACCCTCTCAGAGCCTCTGAGAATGACATTCTGGAACTGTCGGGTCAGGGAGGCCAGGAATTGGGGCCTGGAAACTGCTGGAGGGCTGAGGGGGAGCCCCTCCAAAAATCAGGTTTCCATCTCCTGGCCCTGGGTGAGGGCCATGAGGGAGTGGCGGGTGCTGCCCTTGGCCCTGGACACAGCTCATGGGGTGGACATGGCTTGTAGGGTGGACATAGCTCGCGGGGCTCCTTCTGCCTCTCCTGCAGAGGGACTTAACTCATACCTGGTTCCTACACCTCTTGGCCACCCTTTCTCCCCCAAGTTCTCGGGCCAAGGTGAGCCCCAGAGCAAGGGTGGGAAGGAGTCACTAAGCCCTAGTTGAGCCACCCTGCCTCAGTTTCCCTAGCTGTTGGCTCCCTTCTTCAGAGGGGCTGTCCTCAGAGCCTGCTGGGATCTTCACACCCATGGAAACTCTTAGATGGGGGCGTGTTCTCTCTCTGGTCTCCTAAGGGAAAGGGCCCAGACTTGTCCTGAAGCTTTGTCAGTTTTGAGGGGGGGGTCTGACCTGACGCTGGAGGAGGCCCCCACTGACAATTTTTGAGTATTACTCTTATGAATAGCAGCTGTAAGTCGTTCCAGGGCTTACTCTGGGCCAGGTCCTATCCTTAACACTTCCTATGGTCCTATGAGCATTTCCATTTATAAATAGGGGAAACAGGCCCAGAGAGGCAAAGTCACTTGCCCAAGGTCACACAGCTGGGATTTGAGCCCTGACTGCTCCCATGAATAAACCACACTGGGCAGGCAGTGGCTGAGGGGTCTTCTTTCCCACACTTGAGTTGGGGCAGGGCCCATGGGAGAGGTCAAGGGTCTGGAGAGATTGAGGGTCCGGAGGGGTCACCCCTCCTGCTATTGCTGCCTCCTACCTGATGGGAGACTGATAAGGCCCTTGTGCGTCAGAGCTGTGGAGCCAACGAGCGAGCTTGGCTCCCAAGAGGGGCCCCAGGGTCAGGCTTGGTGGACGGAGGGGGGCGTGTCTCCCAGCTCTTTGCTAGTGGGATCCCAGCCAATCTTCCTCCACGTCTGCCGTCGGGAAAACTGAGGAACGGGACCGTACCTAAAAGAGGCTCAGGAATGGAGAACCCAGCCAGAGAAATGAGATATAGGGGTTCCCCAGACACAGGCATCCTGGGGCGTAGAGGCAGATTAGGAAACTGAGGCTCCCAGGGTGTCTTAGGCAGTTGCAACAGCGAGTGCAAAGTCCCTGAGGCTGGACTGAGCTTGGTGGAAGACAAAGGAGGCCTGTGCGATGGGACAGAGGCAAGATGAGGACCCTGGTGGACAGCTCGGGATGGGGCTGGTAACTCTTATTATGAAGGGGGGATGGAGCTGGCTTTGGTTGGCTCATGGCTGATGCCTCCTCAAGGGGCTGCTGTGGGATGTTGTTTTGAGATCTGGGTGCCCTGGTCTGTGCCAGCAGAGGTGCGGCCCCACTGGGCTGAGCATCGGGAGTCCCCCCCACCCCCCCACCCCCCGCCAGGGAAAGTCCCGTGGAAATGAAAAGCTGGTCGGCAATGCTTTCTCCAGAGGGTAGTGTTAAGGCTCCCAGAGGTGAGCTCTGGGGCCGGCCGGTGATGCATCCCACCATGCATTTTCTCCTTTAGTTCCTCCAGCCCCCCCCCCCCAGAGATGTGTGTAAACATCATAGAGAGGAAAACCCAGCACCCACAGAGAGGATGGGGCTTCCTGGGTTCCACAGCTAACACACAGTAACACTGGGATGCCTCTCCAGCTCATGCTGTTGACCACGGCTCCGGGCTTCCTGGGACCAGTACTGGGAACTTTCTAGCCTCATGCCTCAACGTTCTGTTTCTATGGGTGGAAGCCCAGAGAGCCCATGCATGGGGGTCGGGCAAGCAGTGGGTGGGCTGTGCACCCGTGACATCTCCTGCTGGTCTCCCGAGGTTCTGCCCCTTAGCCCGACTTGCTGTGTGACCCCGGGCCAGTCCCCTCCCCTCTCTGGGCCACAGTTGCCCTTATCTGTACATAATGAGGGTGGATTGGGACCTCCACTCATGGCTGCCCTCTCAACCTCCCTCCTGAACATCCTCCTCCTGCAGGTCTGGGAGCAGTGACCCCTACTGCATCGTGAAGGTGGATGACGAGGTGGTGGCCAGGTGAGGAGTGGACAGGCCGGGCCTGGGGAAAGAGGAACAGGGCGGGGGATGGAGGAGGAGCAGCTCCTTCTAGACCTGGCGAGTCCAGGCACAAGATTTCACATTGAAAAGAGGAGCCGGCCGGCGGTAATGCTTATGCCAAGGGTGGACGTGTGGGGCTGAAAGTGACTGCTTTGTGCTTTGGCCCCTCTGGGGACAGACAGCTGGGGCTGTCACTCCTCTCCCCATCCTGCCCCACCGACTGGCCGACACCTTCCCCCGGACCAGATGATGTCCCTGCCGGTGTCCTGGGGCTGACTCAGCGGCTGCCAGCCTCCCATAGTGGCCTCCCCGGAGGCGGGCATCTCACGCTTGGCTGGGCTGGCTGGTTCCGGGCCTGCTGGGTGCTGCGGGCACTGGGGCGTGCGTGTGTGTGTGTGCGTGTGTGTGTGCGCGCGCATGCGTGCCCCGCTGGGCCTGCTTGTGAGTGTGTGGGGGGGTGTTGGAGGGCTGATGTGAATGCCTGTGACCACATGTGCGTGTCTCTGGGGGTGTGCGGCTCATGGGCTCACATTGTGTCCCGGTGGTGTGTGTGTGGGGGGTGTGCACGCCCGTGGGCTGCCCTGCATACACACGTGAGCACCAGTGTCTGCTTGTTTGGGTACACACATGCCATCGTGAGGACAAGTGAGGACGTGAGGGTGTTTGATGAGTGAGTTTTGGGCGGGGGTGGAGGAATGTGGGGCTGGGCCATGGTTGGCTCCCGCCCCGCCCCCGCAGGCCTGGGCGGTGTGGGTGGGCAGGTGGGCGGGTGGCTGAGGCCCGGGGTTCCTATGGAGACAGCAGGATTCAGGATGCTTCTGGTGCTGGTTCCGGTCCAGATGGGCTGGGAGCGGGTGGTGGGGAACCCCATGGGGGAGGGTCAGCCTGCAGCACCCCAGCTGACCCCCTCCATTGTTCTCTATGCTCATGCTGCCCCCTCCCCACATGCTATGATACCACCCCCAAACCCACAGAGAGATTTTCTGTGCGATCCCAGGCTGCACTCTGCCCAGCTCTGGGCTCTGAAGAGGGACTTCCAGCTGGGAAAAGGCCAGGACAGGGGGAAGAGGGTGTTTGGGAAGAAGGGTCCATCTGACGGTGGTGCCCTGGGCTGGGGTAGAGGGCAGAGTGCGCATCTCTGTGTGCCTGCGTATGTATATGTTCACTCTCCTTGTTGGGGAAGAGTGTGGGGAAAGGGAAGAAAGGAGTGACAGGTATATGACCCAATTCTACAGCCATAGATTTGGGTGTGTCTTCATTGGGCAAAGTAGGTTCTTCGTTCCCTACTGGGTGAAGAGAAGTGCATCTGCAGGGGTGTCGGGGTGAGGATGCTCTCTGTGTGTGTCTGTTTCTAGGCTTATTTTGCTCCCTAACCCTTTTGTGGTTCCCTCTTGTTTCCTGAGTGCTCTGGCTCCTGCTGACTTCATGGTCTCTTGGCCCCTCACACTTCCGCATTTCCCATCTAGCACCTTCCTGTTCCTCAGACTCAACAAACTCACTCCTGCCTCAGGGCCTTTGCACATGCTGTGCCAGCCATCTTGTCCTCATCTTCTCATCCCCCTTTGCCTAATTAGCTCCTGCAGGAAGCCTTTTCTGACTCCTCCTGTCCACACCCCCAGGCCCAGCCAGGTGCCACTGAGCTCACCCTAATCACTTCTCTCACTGTGTCATGTGTCATAAGAGCTCAGGAGAGAGCACCTGCCCACTGAACGGGGCTCTGTGGGGGCAGGGACCTGGGCACCTCTTCCTCTGATTCTCCATAGCCCACAAGACTTGGCACACAGTCAGGGTGTTTATGGAGTGAATGAGTGAATGAATGGAATTTGCAGGTTTTCAGTTACTGTGCGGGGGTTCTGTGTGTGTGTATCTGCCATCTATCACTATATATGTATGAGTGTGTGTCTGTGGGTCTCTGTGGGTCTCTATGCGCTGGGCAATTTTTTTTTTGGTCTGTGTGTCTATGTGACTGTGCTGTTTTCTCTGTGTGTATCTGTATGTGTCCATATGTAGAAACACATAGATGTGCATTTCTAGAAATTTCTGAGGCTTCATATGTGTATCTGTGTATATGGGAGTGCGTCTCTGGCTTTCTTGGTGTATCTGTGAGTGTCTCTCTTTTCATGTGCCTCCTTATGGGACTGTGTGTGTGTGTGTATGTGTGTGTATGTAGGTCTCGGAGTATGTGAGTGTTGGGGTTTCTGTGTGTGTATTTGTGGGTTTTTTCGTGTTTTTTTTTTTAAGTAGGCTCCACACACAGCATGGGGTCTAATGTGGGGCTTGAACTCATGACCCTGAGATCAAGACCTGAATTGAGATCAAGAGTGGGACCCTTAACTGACCCAGACGCCGCTCCCTGTGTGTGTGTCTGCCACCTGTGTGGCCCAAGGGTCCCCAGCCCCCTGTGCCCTTTTTACAGGACAGCAACTGTCTGGCGGAGCCTGAGCCCCTTCTGGGGGGAGGAATACACCATACACCTGCCCCTGGATTTCCACCATCTGGCCTTCTATGTGCTGGACGAGGATACAGTGGGGTGTGTGTACTGGGGACCCATGCCTGGGCACCTGGGGGAAGGCGGGATGCCCCGAGGCAAAGTACCCATCCAGCCGGCCCTTGATGCCTGCTCCCTCGACTTAATGACTTGGACCCTCACCTGCCCACCTTTCCACAGGCACGACGACATCATTGGCAAGATCTCGCTGAGCAGGGAAGCAATTGCAGCCGACCCCCGAGGTGGGCGAGGGGCAGCGACCTTCAGCTGGGCAGAGGGAATAGGCGTGGCCATGCCCAGGTTGGGCATTTGCAAGCATGTAGCAAGTGGCAGGGGAAGCACAGAGTCTTCACTGGAAAATTATTTCAGTTGTTGATTTCTCTCTCTCTCTCTTTTTTTTTGGGAGGGGAAGAGAGAGAGTGAGAGAGAATGCATGCGCCCATGTGGGGTGAGGGAAGGGCAGAGGGAGAGGGAGAGAGAGAATTTTAAGCAGGCTCCTTGCTGGACATGGAGCCTGACACTGGGCTCAATCTCATGACCCGGAGATCATGACCTGAGCTGAAACCAAGAGTCAGATGCTTAACTGACTGAGCCACCCAGGCACCCCATCAGTTGTTGATTTAAAAAAATTTTTTTTAAATTTAGTTTATTCATTGAGTAGTTAATTACTTTACATAGTTCAATATTCAAAAGGTATAATTAGTGGGGGAAACTGTCCCTCTTAACCCAGCTATTCCATTTTCGTTTTCAAGGTTGTCAGTTTCTTGTATGTCCTTCTAGAGATATTTTATTTTATTTTTTTAAAGATTTTATTTATTTATTTGAGAGAGAGAGCAGAAGCAGGGGGAGCAGCAGAGGGAGGGGGAGAAGCAGGCTCCCTGCTGAGCAGGGAGCCTGACATGGAGCTCGATCCCAGGACCCTGGGATCATGACCTGAGCCAAAGGCAGCCACTTAACTGACTGAGTCACCCAGGCACCCCTAGAGATATTTAAAAAAAAAATTTTTTTAAGATTTTATTTATTTGCGAGAGAGAGAATGAGAGAGAGCATGAGAGGGAGGAGGGTCAGAGGGAGAAGCAGACTCCCTGCTGAGCAGGGAGCCTGATGTGGGACTCGATCCCGGGACTCCAGGATCATGACCTGAGCCGAAGGCAGTCGCTTAACCAACTGAGCCACCCAGGCGCCCTCTAGAGATATTTTAAATAGGTTTATTTATTCCAGGTGCTTTACATGAATCAATTCATTTAATTATTGTAATAACCCTGTGAGGTAGGTACTCTTATTCTGCCCGCTCCATAGGTGAACATCCTGAGGCACAGGGGGTTGGTTCTATGGCTTGCCTCAAATCACAAAGTTATTAAGTGGGATGGCCAGGATTTGAACCAAGATTGTCTACCTCCATCCAGTCTGTGCTCTTAACACAGCACTGTATGTGTTTTGTTCTCTGCTCCTAGGAATGGCAGCCTGTTATACTCATTGTTCTCTACCTTGCCTTTCACATCACCACGTACCTTGGAGATCTTTCCATATTGGTGCCCCAAGAGCTTCCGCATTCTTTGATCTTTGACTTCATGGCACTCCATTGTGTGGATATATCATCATTTATTTGGCTGGTTCCCTACTGATGGACACTTGGGTGGTTTACTATCTCTCCCGAGTTCAAACAATACAGCCATGAATAGCCTTGTACAAATGTGATTTCACATGTGTGCAAGAGATATTAATCAGTCTGATAAATTCCTAGAAGTAGATTTGTCATAGAGTATCCATATTAGCACATTAGAGAGTTATTGCTAAGTTACCTTCTATGGAGGAGGTAACAATTTGCCCACCCTGTACGTTTGGCAGGAATTACCAAACGCTTTGATCTTGTATCTGAGAGGTAAAAAAATTGCCTCTTTGTGTAGGTTATTTTGGATTTCTCTATGAACGAGATTGAAAGCCTCTTTACATATTTAAGAGTCGCTTTGTTTCCTTTTTTGTTTGTTGTTTATTTACATTGTATGTGCATTGTCCCCCACTGGGTTGTTTGGCTTTTCTTATTGATTTGTAGGAGCTCTTTGCATATTAGGTCAATTTAACTCTGTCATATCAGCTGCAAATAGTTTTTCTCCCTTTGTCACTTATGTTTTTGCTTATCATTTTTTTCTATGTATAAAATTTATTTCTTTTTCTCTAGTTAACTTCATCTTTTTGTTTTTATGGCTCTTGATTTTCTGTGATACCTAAAAAGGACTTCCCAACTCTAAGATAAAATTTTTTTACATGATTTCTTCTCGCAACAATTTGTTTTCCTTTTTTACATTCAAGTCTTTGCTCTACTTGGAATTTGTCCAGATTCAAGGTATGGAGAGGGATTGAACTTTATTACTTTTTGTCTAGATGACTACTAATTGTCTCAATGTCAATAACTGAATAATGTATTTTTTCATCAGTGGGGATTAGTTGGAAACCTACATGCTAATCATCATAATCATTGCTCCTATTTAATGAGAGCTTACTATGTGCCAGGCATGATGCTAAGCACTTTATATTTAGTCTTCACAACACCAAGTGAAGTGTGTACTAGAATGATCTTGAATTTATGGCTGATGGGAAATGAGGTTTGGAGAGATGAAGGCAATTGCCCCTCCTAGAAGTTGCAGAGTTGGGAGTTGGGTCCAGGCTGCGTCTGCTTCCAAAGTCTGTGTTTTCAACCTGTCCACCAAGCTGTACCCATTGTGCCTCAAACATCCACCCAAGGGGGTGGAATTAGATGAATGAAGTATGAGGCCAAATTTTAAGGAGCTTATGGACCAGATAGAAACACAAAACACGTTCACACACAAGCAAGGAGCAAGAAAAAAAGGGAAGCTGGCCATGTGTCTGAATGTTTTTTCAAGCAGGACAGGAAGGTGGGGGTAGAGGCATGTGGAATATCACTGGCATGACAGTGGATGAGGATAAGAGGGCAGTGAGGGCTAGTGTAGTCAAGGAAGGTTTCCTGGATGAAGGGGAATGAGTTGGTTCTTAAAGGTATCTCAGCAAAGACACTAAGGCGTGTCTCTGTAGACTCTCTTCTAGTGTCAGGCGTAGGCCAGGGCAGATGGAGCACTAGGTGGGTCTCTATTGGAGAAGGCTGTAGGTGTCAGGCTAGAGTCTGCACTTTCTCCTGGAGGCACTAGGGAGCCACTGATGGTCCTTGAGCAAGACAGTGAAGAGAGTGGAGCCATATTATCAGAAGATGGAGTGGCAGGAGAGATTAGATACATTTTCAGAAGATCTCTGGGCTGCTTTGTGGATACTGGATCACAGCGGGACAGGAGTGCATGTGGGAGATAAATTAGGAGTCTGTTGCCATGGTCAAGTGAGAGGAAGCTGATGGCATCCTGGATTTGGGGGTAGCAGTGAAGACAGAGAGAGGTGAGGTGGGACTACACTTCATCACACACACAAGGAAGTGGGCCACCATGAGCAAGAGTCAGCAGACACAATAACCACCAGATTTGAACCCATGAAGATTTTAGAATTTATTACGTATGATATACAGAATTTTAAAAGGAATAAAATATTTAAATAAATAGAAATGTAATCACCAGAAAGGGCCAGCGATAATCATAATAAAGTAAAACAATACATTAAAAAATAGATTTGAAGGGCGCCTGGGTGGCTCAGTCGTTAAGCGTCTGCCTTCGGCTCAGGTCATGATCCCAGGGTCCTGGGATTGAGCCCCGCATTGGGCTCCCTGCTCCACAGGAAGCCTGCTTCTCCCTCTCCCACTCCCGCTGCTTGTGTTCACTCACTGTGTCTCTCTCTGTCAAATAAATAAATAAAATCTTAAAAAAAAAATAGATTTGAAAAAGAACCAAATCGAACTCTTAGAGATAAAAAGTAGTGACTGAAATTGAGAACTGAGTGGCTGAGTTCAACAGCACATCATTCGGAGCTGAAGAGAGAATTAGTGAGCTGGAAGAGAGATCTGAAGAAATTATTTAGACTTTAGCCCAGAGAAAAAAGAAGGAAAATATGAAAGAGAAGTTCAGAGACATAGAAAATTACTGAGAAGGTCTAACATCCATTTAATTGGAGTCCTAGGAGGAAAGAATAGAAAAAATAAGGGAGAACGTGCGGGGCTCTCAGCGGGTCTGGCGCCATGTCCCGGAACCTGCGCACCGTGCTCATCTTTGGCAGCTTCATCTCCCTAATCGGAGCCGCCTTCTATCCTATCTACTTCCGGCCCCTAATGTGGCTGGAGGAGTACCAGAAGGAGCAAGCCATAAATCGAGCTGGTATCATTCAAGAAGATGTGCAGCCACCAGGGTTAAAAGTGTGGTGATCTCAGGACCCTTTACCACTCTTAAAATTTTTTGTGGACCCCGAAGTGGGTAATACCTGTAGGTACTATATTAGAAATTAAGACAAAATTTTAAAATGTTTATTAATTTATCAATAACAAAGCCATACAGAGGAATATGACATATTTTGTGTGAAAAATTTGTTTTCCAAGATAAAAAATAATTTGCAAATTTAAAAAAAAAAAAAGAAAGAAAAAATAAGGGAGAGGAAGTGATACAAAAATTGATGACTGGAATTTTCCAGAACTCAAGGAAGGACATGATTCTATAAGTAGAATCAGCACAACCTGCAGTAAGCAGGATTAAAAAAAAAAAAAAATCCTTACCTGCCTGTGTGGTGAAATTGTAGAACATCAAACTCATAGTCCTTAAAATTAAAGAGAAAAGATTCACCATTGACAGAAGATCAGTGATCAGGCTGCAATGACTTCCCAACAGCTACAATGGAAGCTAGAAATCAGTGGATGGTATCTTTCAAGTGTTGAGACAAATGAAGCGGGTAGGGGAGGGAGGTTGAAATTGACTTGACTGATTCCCGACTGGGAGAACTGCCCCCTGCCGGGTGGGAGGCTCAGAGGAAGGAATGCCCAACATTTTTGTGAGGGGAGAGTATGTTGAGACTAAATGATGGAGGGTTTTGTATATTAGAGTGAAGAATGAGTACAGGGTGAAGGGCATTGTACTATACTGCTCACATTCAAATCCCAGCTCTACCACTTACTAGCTGTGGGAACATGGGCAAAGCTCTTCTTTCACTGGGCCTCATTTTCCTCATCTGGAAGTGTGGATAATTACAGTACCTACATCAGAAGGCTAACATGAGAAGTCCATGACTTAATACATATTTAATGTTAATTGAATTTTTAAGTTAACACAATGCCACTGTCTGGTAGGTACTTAATAAATGTGAGCACCTGTGCCTTCCAGGAATTGATAGCTGGATCAACCTGAGCCGTGTGGACCCAGATGCAGAGGTTCAGGGTGAGATCTGCTTGGATGTACAGATGCTGGAGGATGCACGGGGCCGTTGTCTTCATTGTCATGTGCTCCAGGCCAGGTATGGTCATGATGGGGGTTGGTGTGAGGTTGGTCTGAGAATGAGCAAGAGTTTGCTGCATTCTCCCAGCTGTTTTGGCTTTTGAGACCACGTCACTCCTGGGGCACTTCTGGGCTCACAGCCAGGATCCCTTGTAGGCAAACAGTCCATGTTCACCAGGTTTGCAAGTTCCTGGGTTTGCACAAGCAAAATCCTTGCTGGGTCCCCAGTGACCAGCAACCAAAGGTCAGACACTGAGAATGGCCAAAGTGTGGAGGTGTATTAATCAAATTGTAAGTGATAGATACCCAATTCATACTAGCTTAAGCAGATTGGCTTATATGAATGACATGCAGCTTCAGGCATGGCTGGATCCAGGTGCTCAAACAGTGACATCAGGAATCTGTAGACATAGACTTCTCGGTTATCTTTTGTGTTAGCTTCATTCTCAGGCAGTCTCTCTCCAGGTGTGGGCAAAGATGACCCCAGCAGTCCCAAGATGGCATCCTACCAACTTGGCAGGTCCAATTGAAAAAGAAATTTCCTTCATCATTTCCCACTAATGTCCTAGGACTGATTCTTATTGGCCCAATCTGGGGCACATACCTATCTCTGAACCAATTACATGGACTCTGATGGGTCAGGCCTGAGTCCCACACCCACTCCTGGAGTGAAGAGAGGGATCAGCCTACCTAAGTTATGTGAGCTGGGAGTGTGAGACAGGGGCAGGTCCTGTCCCAAAGAAACAGGAGAAGGAAGTTGGATGCAGGATCAGCAAAACCCCACAGATTACCCTCCAGGGGCACCAGCTCGTGGGATATCCATCTTCCCTCCTGCCTATTTATTGCTGTGTAATTCCCTCCTCTCTTCCTCAGCTCCCCCATCATTCTGCTTCCTTCAATACTCCCATCCCTTTCCCCCCTCTCATCTCCCATCTTGTCTTTCTGCCTTGTTTTCACACCTTACTCCCCCAACCCTCACTTTTAGACCAGTCCTCACTCACATTGGGGAGGTTCACTATTTCTGGTTTGCTGTGTGACCTGAAAGCCTTTTCTTGCCCTCTCTGTGCCTCTCCCACCGTCTCCAGATCTCTGTCTCCAGCTGGGACTCTCTGGAGTCTGGATGGAGTACCAGGGTTGCAGAGGACAGGCAAAAGGACTGCACATGGGACAGGAGGCTCCTCATCTGCTTTGTGCCAGTGGCCTCCTCCCCAGCCACAAGGCTGTGCAGGATCCTTGCAAGCAGGAGAGGGACTGATTGCTGTCGCTTAGCAACTGGGCTGGCTCCTAGGAAACCAAAGAAGGCTTTGGATGCCAAACAAGGGTGGGAGAGAAGAAGCAAGAGGAAGCAAGCAGCCCCTGGTGGGGGGCTGTCACTGGGTTTGGGGGACCTCAGGAAGGAGGGGTTGGGGAAACTGACTAAGGTGAGACTTTTGGGTTGTCGTAGCAACCAGAGACAGGGGGTCCTTGCTTCAAGCCTTTTCTTGGATCCTAGGCAGGGTGTGGATATGAGCATTTGTTGAATGAATGAAGGAATGAATGAATGAACGAGCACTCCCATCCGGCCAGCTGCTAAGCTAAGCCTGTTATACACATCATCTCGTTCAAGCCTCGGCCCTGTGAGGTTCGATCTGTTATTATTTCTATTTTCCAGATGAGGACACTGAGGCTCGGGGTGGTGAAGGGACTTCTCCCAGTGTCACCCAGCCAATGAGTGGTGGAGCCAGGCTTTGAACCCTGGCATCTGGTCTCCTGCCCAGGGGCTCCAGGGAAACTGAGGCTCCCCTCCCACTCCCCACTGCATCTTCACCTCCTGGGCTTTGTGATTTAGGACTTGACCTTCTGGTGCCTCAGTTTCCTTATCTGGAATACAGGGGCATACTAGGGCCTCCTGATAGGGTAGCACTGGTCAACAGGAAGATACTGGGCTTCGATGGGCAGGGTGAGGGGTGCTCCTTGCTGTGTCCCTACAAGTGGAGGCCAGAGGCATTTGAACGGTCTATCCTGAACCCCTTTTCCAAGGTCCAGCCTGGGTCTTGGTCATCAAGGGTCCTGCGTCCCTCACGCCTTTCCTCATCTTCCGCAGGGACCTGGCCCCCCGGGATATCACCGGCACATCTGACCCATTCGCACGAGTGTTCTGGGGCAGCCAGAGTTTGGAGACGTCAGTGAGTGGGGGCGTGGATCGGGGGAGGGGCGGGCATGGAGGCAGGGCCTCCTCAGCTCTGCCTCACTCCCCCTCTCCCCAGACCATCAAGAAGACCCGCTTCCCACACTGGGATGAGGTGCTGGAGCTGCGGGAGATGCCGGGTGCCCCAGCCCCACTGCGAGTGGAGCTCTGGGACTGGGACATGGTGGGCAAGAATGACTTCTTGGGCATGGTAAGCACCCCCTCCCCTGACACCCTCCATGGCTCCCCACTGCCTCCAAGAGGGAAGGAGAGGGGAGATGGGCTTGCATCCTGGGATCTGGAAGGATAGATGTGAAAGCTGTCTCAGCTGGCTCCTTGGCCAGGCCCGGGCAATGGGGTCCCATTGCCACATTGCACAGGCGAGGAGACAGAGACTCTGCAAGGGGCAGGAACCTGCCCAAGGTGCCAGGCTGGGCCCAGATTCTCATTCTGGGGTGAGAGTACTCAGGACGACCATGTGCTAAGTGCTTCTCCAGCATAATCTCACTTTTGCACTCTTTATGGCCACCCTGTGAGGCTGGGATTGTTGTCTGCATTTTATAGTTGGGGAAACCAGGGTTCATTCAGAGAAGTTGAGTGGCTTTCTCAAGGCCATATGACCAACAAAGGGCAGAGCCAGAATCTGAGCTCAGGCTTCTCTGACTCCAGAATCTCAGCCCTTAACCCCTATTCCTGGAAGCACCGGGCTCAAGGTCTGTCTCTTGGAACCTCAGTTTGCACATCTGTAAAATGGGTGTGACTGCCCCTGCCTCTCAGTGGGAATGGATGCATAGTCAGGGCTGACAGTTTTTTTTTAAAAGGATGCAAGATTAGAGCAAGTTATAGGGAGGCTTGGTTATGCACAGCCGGCCGGGCAGGCAGGCGGGGGTGTAAATGGGGTAGCCGCTTTGGAAAAGAGTCTGGCCCTTCCTCAAACGGTTAAAGACCATCACCACATGCCCTGGCAACTCCACTCCTGGACGCGCACCAAAGAGAAATGAAAACACATATCCACATAAAAACTTGTACATGAAGGTTCACAGCAGGCAGTTGTTCGTGACAGCCAAGAGCGGAAACAACCCAAATGTCCCTCTGCAGCTGAATGAATAAATACAACATGGTGTATCCTTACAATGGAATATTACTCAGCCATAAAAGAGAATGAAGTCTGGCACCTGCTACAACGTGGATGAATGTTGGAAACATGCCAAGGGAAAGAAGCCTGTCCCCACAGATTATATGATTTCATTTATATGAGATGTCTGGAGTAGGTGAACGTGTAAAGACAGAAAGTAGACCAGTGGTGGCCAGGAGCTGGGGGTGGGGGTGGGAGATGGGGAGTGACAGCTAATGAGCGCAGGCGTTTGGGGGGCTGATAGAAAATACTCTGAAATTAGTGGTGACGGTTGCCCAACTCTGTGAGTAGACCAGAAGCCGTTGAATTACACACTTTAAATACGTGACTTGTATGGGATGCAAATTACATCTTTATAAAGTTATTTTAAAAGAGAGGGGCTGGGGCTCAGGGGCCTTCTGGACTCTCTTTAAGCTTCCAGACAGGTGCGATTTGTGTCCCCCCAAAGAGCTGAAAATGCCCTCAGTCCAGATATGTGGTCTCTGGCAGCTGTGTGACCTTGGACAAGTTGCTCCATCTCCCCAAGCCTCAGTTTCCCCAACTGTAAATGAAGTGTCCCTGGAGGCCCTCAGCATCCTGGCAGGAGCTAGTCCTTTGGGACTGGGAGAGGAGTGTGGCTGCTCTTGTCAATGGGATTTGGTAGGGGAGGGGAGGTGACCCCTGGCAGTCTACGCCTCCCCTCCTTGGGTGGGCAGTCAGAGCTTTTCTTGGCCTGGGTGGGGCCTTAGGCCGGGCAAGTTCGGGTTCAGCTGAGGGTCTGCGTGTCCCCCTGCAGGTGGAGTTCCCCCCACAGGTCCTGCAGCAGAACGCACCCAGTGGCTGGTTCCGTCTCCTGCCCTTTCCCAGAGCCGAGGAGGATTCTGGGTAAATGTGGGTGTGGAGGGAGGTGGCCAGGCTGAACTCAGGTCGAGTGCCATCTTCAGCTTGCGGGCAGGTCCTGGTGGGTGCCCATGTCAGCCCACAAGCTGTCACCATGTCACTTCGTTCACTCATTGAATGTCTGTCTTACAATGTGCATTTACTTAAGTCCAAATGAGTTCACCTTGGACCCCATCCACCTGTTTGCACGTGAACATATCAGCTCACACTAGTCAATGCGTGTTCAGAACCCCGGGTCTTTCCACACCTGTGCACACCTGTTCACATTGTCCGTTCTTGTATACACCTTATGCTGGCCACACTGTTCACATCGACTTTACCTGTCCATTCCCGTGTATCCCTCTGAACATCTGTTCACATATACCCACACCTGCCCACACTTCTCCACACTTGTCTGCATCAGACTACACTATCCACACCTGCCCCCATTGTCTGTTCACAGTGTACATATTTTTTTTTTACACTGGCCACGTCATTCCACACCAGCAGTATCTGTTGACTCTGTCTGCACTCATCTGTTCCTGTGTACCCCGTCAGTATCTGTTCACACCTGCCCACACTGCCCACGCCTGTTCACACCTGCTCACACCTGTCCCCATCTGCCTTGTTTTGCTAATACCCATGCTCCTTATCTGTGTTCACACCTGCCTCTCTTGGCCGTCCGCGCCTGCGCGTACATACTTACTGCTCTCTCACCTGCGATCTGACCCCGGTCAGGGGGACCCTGGGCGCGCTGCGGCTGAAGGTGCGCCTCATCGAGGACCGCATCCTGCCCTCCCAGTATTACCAGCCGCTCACGGAGCTGCTCATGGAGTCTGTGCTGGGGCCGGCAGAGGTGGGTGCATCCATTCTACTGGGGATCTGGATGATGGCTCCCCGTGCTTCAGGGATCCCTCCCGGGGCTCTTGCTTTGGGGTCCCAGGACCCTGGGCCACCTCCCCTGTTGGCTGTCCTTGCCCAGGAGGATGCTGCTAGTCCCCTGGCTGTGCTGGAGGAGCTGACCTTGGGGGACTGCCGCCAGGACCTTGCCACCAAGCTAGTGAAGCTCTTTCTTGGCCAGGGCCAGGCTGGGCCCTTTCTGGACTATCTCACCCGGCGTGAGGTGACCCGGACCAGTGAGTTGCCTGCATGAGCCCCAGACATCACACCCCAGGGATGGGTCCACACACAGGGTCTCTGAGGGAGAAACGGGGGGCTTCAGGCAGAGGTCAGGGGCTCCTATGTGTGTGGGGGCGGGGGGGTCCCTACACTCTGCACCAGCAGCCAACTGGGGATACAGTCTTGGATTCAGGTGCTGGCATTGCTCCTCTTGAGCTGTGTGACCTCAGGCCGCTCATTGAACCACTCTGGGCCCCTGGACTGTGAATGGAGTTGATGTTGCAGCTCTACCTGATTCCTGAGGCTGGAAGAATCATGACTCCCACCTTGGGTGGGTGGGGTGAGGTGGATCCGGCCTCCAAATCCCAGCAAACATTTCCCTCTGTCCTCCCAGCTGACCCCAACACCCTCTTCCGTTCTAACTCCCTGGCATCCAAGGCAATGGAACAGTTTATGAAGGTGAGCACGCAAAGGCCTGGTGGGGCCCAGCTGCAGCTTCCTCAAGGGGACTCCTTTTCTGTGCTTACTGGGAGCCCAGAGCTTGGCCGGCCTCGGCTGGCTCAGGGTAGCTGCGCGGGGTTGCTGGTGGCTGGTGCCTGGCCTCACCCTGAGACGCCCCTCACTCCTGCCCTTGGACATGCCTCAGCCTCGCTCTGAGCCTCTCCCTGCATGGTCCCCCCGCTCCCCGCTCGTGGGCATGCCCCCGCCTCCCCCTCAGCCCCGCCCCATGTGGTGCCCCCTGCCCTCAGCTCGTGGGCATGCCTTACCTGCACGAGGTCCTGAAGCCGGTGATTAACCGTGTCTTCGAGGAAAAGAAGTACATGGAGCTGGACCCGTGCAAGATGGACCTGGGCCGCACCAGGTGAGCAAGGCCTCAGGGGCGAACCCCAACCCCCTGGCAGCCCCCTTGTCTGCCCAGAGCCTTGCCAGCCTGGGTCTGTGCCTACTCCCTCCCTCCGGCTCCGTTGCTCAGGAGCTCCGCGTTGCCGCAGAAAGCCTCACTGGGAGCACCGCGATCCTCGGGCTGAGTAGTGTAGTGGTGACGGGCAGGACTCTGAAACTGAGCTCCTGGGTTCGAATCCCAACTCTGAGGCAGGCAAGACAGACCCTACAACCTGTGTGGGAATAAGAAAGAAGGGACAAGAACCTTGCAGGTAGAAAAGTGTTATTCCATCATCCACTCAACAAAACAATCGTTGAGAACCTATTGTTCAGACACCGGCTGAACACTGGTTCTGAGCAGGGAGTAAGCGGACCCAAATCTGTCTTCCAGGGGGAGGGAGATAGCCAACTAAAGAAGGTCATTGAAGGCGCTCAGGGGAATGGAGAGAGAGAGAGAGCAGGGAAGGGTTGTGGGAGCAGAGAAGGGGCTTGCAGGATTTCATAGGGTGGTCAGAGGGACAGCCTCACAGAGAAGGGGACCTTTCAGCAGACACTTGAAGGAGATGAGGGAGGGAGGCATGCACAGATCCGGTGGAAGAGTATCCCGGGCCAGGGGAAAGAGCAAGTGCAAAGGCCCTGAGGTGGGAGCGTGTGTCCGGCGTGTCCCTGCTGAAAACGCACCAGACCAGGGTCCGTGATGATGTGTGGTGGGAAAGGGATGGCCTCTTTGAGGAGGGGACATTTAAGCTAACTGTGGGTGCAAGAGGGTCTCAGGCGGAGGGAAGAGCATGCACGAGGCTCCGCGACAGGAGTGAGCTCTGCGTGTTTAAGCAGCAGAAAGAAGCCTGGCGGGAACGGGAGGAGGGGAGGTTATGGAGGGGGGATGGGAAGGTGGGTGCTCTCAGCTCAGTGGGGGCTGGGGGAGGGTTTTGAGCTGACAGAGGCTGCGCTCGGAGGCACAGCCACTCTGTTTCCCCAGGAGAATCTCCTTCAAGGGCGCACCCTCAGAGGAGCACGTGCGGGACGCCAGCCTGGGGCTGCTGACCGGCTACCTGGGGCCCATCGTGGAGGCCATCGTGGGCTCCGTGGGGCGCTGCCCGCCTGCCATGCGCCTCGCCTTCAAGCAGCTGCACCAGTGCGTGGAGGAGCGCTTCCCCCAGGCGGAGCATGAGGTGGGCCACGCGTTCCCATGGAGCCGATGGGGAAACTGAGGCTGGGGAGGGGCAGTGGCTTGTCCAGGGTCACATGGAGAGGCGGAGCAGGGTGGGGACAGAGCTGGGCTGCTCACGCTAAAGTACTGTGTGTCCTGTCGGAAGTGGGATCGGTATTCCTGGCAGGGTCTGGGATCCAGGGGTGGTGGTAATAGTAGTAAGAGCAGCTAACGCGATATATAGCCCTTGTCGGGGGTCAGACCGCCTTGAACGTATTCCTCGCCTTATCTAGTCTTCGTATCCACCCTATGGGGTGGGTACCAGTATTCTTCCATTTCCCAGAGGAAGAAGCAGAGGCCCAGAGAGATTGAGTCACATGGTCCTGGGGTAGGCACCTGTCTAGGCAGTCTGGCTTCTGGATCGGTGCTCAAAACCACCAAATATAGAGTCTGGCACAAAGTAAGTGCTTCTTAAATGCAGCTCTTAGAGAAAGAGAGCGAGGGAGCGCAAGAATGAGCGAGCACACTGGTACACAGTAGGTGCTCAGTAGCAGGCGCCCGAAATAGCCTAAAAGCAAATCCCCGCATGTGGCAGTGCTTTGTCACTATTGACATAAAAGTTGAGACCCCCGGCGCTGCCTCCGGCAGGTGAGGTGAATGAAGGCAGCAGTCCGGTGTGGGGCAGTAGGGAGTGGTAGGGACTGTGGCAAAGGGAACTCCCATGGCTTGTCTTAAGGGGGCAGCTCCAGACAATCAGTCATTGCCATGTAGGAATGCGGACCCAGCACTGCCAGATCGTGAGAGTTTATTTTCTAGAGCCGACATTCTGGATTTTATGTGAGGTCTCCTATTTTTTTAAATGTTGGCATTGATTCACCTAACAACAACAACACAACAACACTTTGAGCCAGTTGTTATGTGTTTGCAGCTGGACTCGCCTGTGGGTTACTCATCGGAGCCCCCCTGGTTTAATGGTCAGCATCCCTTCCGGGTGGCCGTGGTTTTTTTAATTATTATTTTATTATTTTATTTATTTATTTTTTTTTTTAAAAAAGATTTTATTTATTTATTTGAGAGAGAGAGAACGAGAGACAGAGAGCAGGAGAGGGAGGAGGGTCAGAGGGAGGAGAAGCAGACTCCCCGCCGAGCAGGGAGCCCGATGCGGGACTCGATCCTGGGACTCCAGGATCATGACCTGAGCCGAAGGCAGACGCTTAACCATCTGAGCCACCCAGGCGCCCCTTATTTTATTTTTTTAAAGATTTTTATTTATTTATTTGACACAGAGAGAGAGACAACAAGAGAGGGAACACAAGCAGGGGGAGTGGGAGAGGGAGAAGCAGGCTTCCCACGGAGCAGGGAGCCCGATGTGGGGCTCGATCCCAGGACCCCGGGATCATGACCCGAGCCGAAGGCAGACGCTTAACAACTGAGTCACCCAGGCGCCCCTGTTTTTTTTTTTTTAAAGCATTTTTTTTTAAAGGTTTTATTTATTTGAGAGAGAAAGAGAGAGAGAAAGCACGAGAGAGGGGAGGGTCAGAGCCAGAAGCAGACTCCCCACTAAGCAGGGAGCCTGATGCGGGACTTGATCCAGGGACTCCGGGATCATGACCCGAGCCGAAGGCAGACACTTAACCCACTGAGCCACCCAGGCGCCCCCAGGTGGCCGTTTTTGTCCTACCTTACAAATGACATCACATCAGGCTCTTAGGTAGTGCTGACGTAATAGAAACACGACTCGGGGGTCACTTTGCAGAAAAATCTAAGACCTGCTAAATGTTGGAGATATAACAGCTCAGTCCCTAGAGCTTGAGTTAAGAGCCCTTGATTACGCCACACCTCTCCCCACGTTCTCTTTACCGGTGGGGAAACTGAGGCCCAGAGAGGTAAAGAGCCTTGGCCAAGGGTTGTGGACTCAAAGCGAGGCCTCTGGTCTCCCAGCGTGGGCCTCTCCCTTCTCTCCTCGGCCCCCCACTGAGGAGTGAGTTCTGGGCCTCCAAACTGGGATGTTGCTTGATTTACGCCCCATTTTGCCAGGATCTCGCCTGGGCTGCAGGTGCTAAGTGGGACACAGCTGTGGCTGGGAGGCGGGAAGGGAAGCGGGGAGGCCAGCTCCCTAGACAGCCTGGCCCTTGTGGGGGACCCAGTGTGACACCCGAGTGCCCTGCAGTTCTCAGCTCCCACGGTGGGCAGAGGCCGTGGGCAGGGAGCAGGGACCTTCTCAGGCCCGCGAGGGTGGATGGGGTCATGGAAACCCAGGGGAACTCCTTTCTCTGCCGCTCTGACACCTGTTCCTCCTGCTTAAGAAAGGAAGTCTAAGAGATGATGTCAAAGACTAAAATTACCCTGGAAGATGGCAGGTGCGGGGGGTGGGGGGTGGGGGGGAGGTGTGGTGGCCTTGGGGGCAACTCAGGTTCCAGATGAGGGCAGGTGGGGGCAGAGATCCTCCTCCTGGGCGGTGTTGGGTACCCTCTGTCGGCAGGGCTCCCTGTCAGCGCACACGTGCCGTAGGAAGTTGGCACGGACCCAGGGAGGGTATTGTCTCAAGTGTGAATACAACCCCTAAATGAATACTGGAGCACATTCTCGGGCTAAATATAGCCGGGCAAGTGTGCAAGGTGGGCGGGGAGTGATTCGGGGAAAGCCAGGTGCACCCAGGGTAAAGGCACACCCTCTCTCTGAGTTGTCTCTGCTGGCGCTGGGGGCACCAGCCTTACCTGTAGATGGGCCAGGGCCGGGACTCACACAGGGGGGCACCGCACTTTACAGTTTGTAGGAGGCAGAGGCTTGGGCTGGGGGGTGCCCATAGGACAGCCTCAGGAGCCAGCCGGCCTGGGTTCACTCCTGAGCCCGTGTCCTCATCCAGAAAACAGGGACAATAGTACCTACTCCATGGGACAGTTAGCGGTTCGGATTAGTTCCTGACGCTCAGCAAGCATTGCACGGTAGCGAGGGTCGAATGCAGGAGGGTGTGAGGAAGAGCTGAGAGCTCTAATCCTGCTTGGGTTCAAATCTTGGCTCTGCCATTTACAGCTGTGTGGTCTTGGGCAGGTGACCTCTCTTTGGGCTTCAGTGGCCTTCTCTGTAAAATGCAGAGAGAATCCCTCCTCCCAGGGTGAGTATTAACTAAACAAATGTATGGAGAGGTATCTGGCATGGTGCTATCAATATAATAAATCATAGATTAGGAGATTGAATTCTGCCTTCTCTACCCATCAGCTGTGTGACCTTGGGCAAGTCACTTGGCATCTCTGAATTTCTGCTTCCTCATCTGTAAAAGGGGAATAATGATGCTGCTTCCTTTATAGGCCTGTGCCCTTAGCACGGTGACTGGCACAAAGCAGATTCTGAGGATATTGGGCTAAAGCTGGTCCTGCAGGATTGTGATTGTTACTCTATTTTCCAGGTGGAGAAACTGAGGTCCAGAGAGAAAAAACCATCTTGGCAGACCAGTGTGGTCTCCTAGCCCATCTCCAGTCCCACTTCCCCTTGCACCACCAATCTATAGTCTTGGCCGCCTCAGTTTCCCCATTTGGGAAGTGGTCCTTGGGGGCTCATCCCACCTGCTGCTTCTCTTGGCAGGATGTGAAGTACCTGGCCATAAGTGGCTTTCTCTTCCTGCGATTCTTTGCACCTGCCATCCTCACCCCGAAGCTGTTTGACCTCCGGGACCAGCATGCAGATCCCCAGACCAGCCGCTCACTGCTACTGCTTGCCAAGGTGCTGAAAGTGGAGTCTCACATCCTGGGTGTTCTTAGCCTGGGAAAAGCATAGGAACAGAGCTGGAAGGCCAAACTGACAGAAGACCCAAACGACACCCAGAGAAATCTGCCTGAAACACCCATTAGCCTTCCATCTGGACTGTGAAGGCATTCATTCATATGTTCTCTAATTTCGTCTCTTGAAACGAAAACCCTACCCTTCCAGGAGGAAAGTGGGAAGCGGGCTAGTAGTCATTTACACCTTAGTGTGAATTAGACCATCCTTTGCAAAGTGGCCATATTTTGAGGTTCTGATGGGCTTCAAAGTATGCATGATAAGATCAGGCAGTCCTGGGTAGGGGAATTGGGCTCCGGAGGGAACAGAATAAGGGCACTGGGGGTGCATATCTCCATAGGGAGGGGTAGATATTGCTCAAAGCAGGTGCTATGAGTCTTCCCCTTTCATTGAGCACTGATTTGAGAGTTAGGACGCAGGGGCTCTGTTCTGGGTCCACAGACAGCCCTTCCCCTGCAGTGACCTTGGCCCTGGCATCCCTTGCTTCTTTGCTCCAGGCTGTGCAGAGCATCGGAAACCTGGGCCAGCAGCTGGGCCAGGGCAAGGAGCTATGGATGGCCCCCCTCCACCCCTTCCTGCTGCAGAGTATCTCACGTGTGAGACACTTCCTGGACCAGCTGGTGGATGTGGATGAGGAGGAGGGTGAGTCCCTGTGTTCCTGCCACATCTGGCTTGTCACTCTGTGGACCCTCAGGACCTGCCCTTCCCGCGCCCGCCCGCCCCCCCCCAGCATTGAGACTATGGACCTGTGTGGGTCAGCTAGTTAGTCTACTAACATTTCCTGGCCCCTCCTGTGCTAGGTCCCAGATATGAACAGAGCTCAGGCCCTGTCCTCCAGGCTATTCCAGCCAATGTGGAGATGTGTGTGGGTGCTGTTGCATGGTGTGCACGCAATCAAAAAATATCAAGTGCTTGCTAGACAGTGTTCCAGGTGCTGGGGAAACAGCAGTGGACAAGACAGAAGAAATTCCTGCTCTAGTGGAAGTTTTATTCTAGCAGGGACCACAGGCTATAAACAAGACGAGTTAGCAAATAATATAGTATGTTTGGGAGTGATCGTGTAGGGAGAAAAAATAATGGAGGGAAGAGAATGTTGGGGTAGGGGTGGCAGGTTGAATTTTTAGGCCCGAAATGGCCTCACTAGGGTGCTATTAGAGCAAAGACCTGAAGGAGGACAGAGAGCAAGCCATGAAGATCCCAGGGAAGAGTATTCCAGGCTGGGAATAGCATGTGCAAAGGCCCTGAGGTGGGGAATGGGGAGCCACAGGGAGGAGCCAATGTAGAAGAGTGAATGAGGGGGCACAAAGAGAGGTGGGGTCCAGATTGTGTGGGGGCTTCATAGGCAGCTGGGCTTTGATGGGGAGTGAAATGGAGCCTGGGACTGCTTTAAGCAGAAGAGTTGGGGCTAAGTCTGTATTACATTGTAGGGCTCAGGGCATGAGAGAGTTGGGTCCAAGTCACATAGGAGGAACCTGTTGGAATGGGGAGCCCTGGTTGTGGCATGGCAGGGTCCCTGTGGCATTGGGGAGGGACCCCCCAGGGGGGACTAGATCCCAGGTCCTCCCTGGACTGACTTCCTGAGGCAGCCCCCCCGCGCCCCACCCCCACTGGCTGCCTGCACCACTGTCTACAGAGCTTCAGGAGAGGGATGCTGGACGCCTGCTTTGTGCTGCCCATCCCACCTTCAATGATCCACTCCCTAATGGAGGGAGTGGAGCCCGCAGCCGTCCTGTCGTTCACCCTCCTGCCTCTAGGGGGGGCAGAGAGTCATGCTCATCCACAGAGGCCCTGGGCACACCGGCAGGGCACGTTGAGCCTGCATATGAGGGGTTCACTGTCCCCTCTCTCCCCATTTCCCAGAGGCTGGGGGCCCAGCCAGGGCCCTGGTGGCCCCCTCAGTGATTGTTCGTGAAGGTTACCTGCTGAAGCGCAAGGAGGAGCCCGCCAGCCTGGCCACACGCTTTGCCTTCAAGAAGCGTTACTTCTGGCTCAGCGGGGAGACTCTCTCCTACTCCAAGAGTCCTGAGTGGCAGGTGGGCCTCCTGCCCACAGCAGGAGTGGGGTGGGGTAGGGGGTTCCAGCAGTGGCCTCCCTCATTGAGCTGCCTCTCTGTAAGCCGGGGAAAACTGAGGCCCAGGACGGGGCAAGGACTCAACAAGTCCAAAGTCTCAGGCCAGGCTCTGCTCCCACTTTTGGGCCAGTGTGGGCACAGGACAGACACAGGCATCCAGCCCCCCGCCCCACACCATCAGACGTCCTTCAGAATGTGCACTTGTGGTCCGGACCGCCCCCCCCCCCCCCGCCCCCCGGTGTGGACACACACAAGACACACACAATGCTTAGCCGCCCTCCGATGCTCCCACGCAGGCCAATGCCCAAGCGCTATCCTACCACGTAAAATTAGATCTGTTCGCTCAGATGTCCCTGCCTGGAGGGCACACATACCAGGCATTTATTCACTCGGTCATTCATCAAACATTTATTGAGTGCTTACTGTATACCATGCAGTGTTCTACGCACTGGACATACAGCAGTAAACAAGACATAAAATCCCTGTTCTTACGGGGTTGCCACTGAAATCCAGCGGCAACTCAGGCACCTGCTGGTGTGTATGCATTTCTGTGCCTGCACGTCCGTGAATGATAGCTAACACTGGACAGGGTGTGCTTGCTCATTATTCCCACTTTGTCAGCAGAGCATAGAGTCTAGAGTTCCAGTCCCTGGTTTCCAACCCTGGCTCCACTAGCTGAGTGACCTCGGGAGGGTCAAGGATCCCCCTGTGCCTCAGTTTCCTCCTCGGCACATAGACCCGGCCTCAGAAATTGGTGTAAAGTGATAAATGTGGAGTGCTAGAAAGCCCTTCCCATCTGCCATGTCAGGGGTTGCTGTGCTGATGGATGACAGTGATGGACACTGGTGCCCAGGGGAGTCCGCGCTTCTTTCGAGGGTGATGGGGCAGGTCTGGGGGACTCAGTGCTCGAGACAGGGGTCATGCACCCAGATTACAGACACACCCTCAGGGAACATCCCCTGAGGCACGCCTCCAAAGGAAAGCTGCCCCTGGGCCCCACCACCCCGGGCCCCAGCCTGCCCTGCAGCCCACTCTGCAGTGACAGGCCTGTCTCCCAGATGCGCTCCTCCATCCCGGTGTCGCGCATCCGCGCCGTGGAGCGCGTGGACGAGGGCGCCTTCCAGCTGCCGCACGTGATGCAGGTGGTAACGCAGGACCCCACCAGCACGCTGCACACCACTTACCTCCAGTGCAAGGTGAGGCATGGCAAGGATGGGGTGGAGAGCGTCCCTTAGGGTCCCACCCCTGACTGTCCCCCCGCACCCCTGGGCTCCCTGCAGAATGTGAACGAGCTCAACCAGTGGCTGTCGGCTCTGCGCAAGGCCAGTGCCCCCAACCCGGACAAGCTGGCCGCCTGCCACCCCGGTGCCTTCCGCAGCTCGCGCTGGACCTGCTGCCTCCAGGCTGAGCGCTCAGGTGAGGGGGCAGGGTGGGCCCAGGTTCCGTCCTCCCCACCTGTCGATCAGCAGTTGTCCCACCTTCGTCTGGCTGCTGTGCAACCTGGGGCAAGTTACTTAACCTCTGTATGCCTCAGTCTCCTGAAGCGGGAAATGGGGTTGATGACAGTACCTGCCTCCTGGGGTTGTTGGGAGGATTGAGTGAGTTGATATACACAAAGCCCTTAGAACACTGCTGAGCACATAGTGCTCATTACATGTGAGGTATTATTTTTTAAGCACCTACTATGTGCCAAGCATCTAGTGGTACACAGACATCAGGTTTGCTCTGGAGGAAGACAAGTGAAGAACCAGACAATTGTAATACAGTCTTCTAAGTACTAAAATGAGGCTTTTGAGACTCCAGAGCATGCCTCTGACCCAGCCCCAGAGTAGGAGATCAAGGAGGGCTTCCTGGAGGAGGTGCTGTTTAGATGTGACCTAAGAAAAGGAGGCGTTAAGCAACGAAGTTGGAGACAGGGATGGGGTAAGGAAGGGTCGTAGGCAGAGCAAAGAGCACGGGCAAAGGGCTGGAGGTGGCACAGGGGGGGCTGAAGGATTGAAAAGGGTCTGCGTGGCTGGAGGCTGGACTGTGGGAGGAGGCTAGAGGGAGGTGAGGCTACCGTTCTGCTGGGCGGGATGGAGGCAGTGGGGCTTGATGGAAGTAGTAGGTTGGAAGAGGGATTTTAGAGGCAGAAGGGTCGGGGCTTGGGGGCCATCTGCCGTGGGGACTTTTGGAAGGGGCAATGGGAAGCAGTCCTGATGGCGCTGTGTCCCCCTCAGCTGCTGGTTGTAGCCGCACACACTCGGCCGTCACCCTGGGGGACTGGAGCGACCCGCTGGATCCCGACGCTGAGATCCAGATGGTGTATCGGCGGCTGCTCCTGGGGCGGGACCAGCTCAGGTGGGTGCCCCTGCCCAGCCCACTTCCCCCGCGATGACCAGCCAGGCCACCTGCCCAGCATGGCCTCCCATGTTCATTCATTCATTCTTTCCGTCCGCTTCAGCTGAGCTTCCCGGTGCACGGTGTGCAGGCTCAAGCGGGGGACTGGGAGGCGTCCTCAGGCAGGCCCCAGTGCAGAAGTGGGTCTTGGGTCTTTTAATATCCGGGTCCCTTGAGACATGGGTACAGGCCTTGGATGTGTTCCTTTTCCTTCCTGGTGGGCTTCACCCCTATTCAGTGACCGATTTTTTCCAACTCCTTCTAGAGTGGGTTCTGAAGCTGGCCTGCCTGGCTTCGAATTCTGGGCTAGCCACTTACTGGCTGTGTGATCTCGGGCACATTGCTTACCCTCTCTGTACCTCCGTTTCCTCATCGGAAAAATAGGGATAATAACGGTACCTTCCTCATGGGGTTGTCCTGAGTGGTCAAATGAGCTAATACAGGTGAGGCATTTTGTAGATGCCTGGTCACAGCTTTCAATACACGGTAACAGTTATTATGCTGTGCAACCTTAGGCAAGTTACATTACCTCTCTGTGTCTGGACTGTATAACGGATCCAACAGTAAGTACCTCCCTTGGATACATTTTTTGTGATACTTAAATGAGTTAATACATGTGAAGGGTTTATAATAGTGTCTGGCACTCTTAAGTATTTGATGTGATGGTGGTGGTGGTGATGGTGACTAGTGGGAGCCAGTCACGTCTCCTGCAACCAGCAGAGAATCTCTGGGGTGGAGACCAAGATTGGGAATCAGGGACCAACCTGTCTTTCTCCCTTTCAACTTCCAGGATGAAATTCCAGGAGGATCCCAACACAGATTCAAGCCCAGAGGCAGATGCAGAGAAGAGTTCTGGGGACACGGAAGGTAAGGGGCTAAGGAGGTCCCCTTTCTTCGCCGTCTCTGTCCCCTGCCATAACTTGCTGAGCCCACTCCTATGTCCTTCCCCACAACTCTCCCCTTCGCAGTTCACCAGCAGGTGTGGTGAGTGGCGGGACGGAGTGTGTGGGCCCTCAGGGCATAGGGCCAGCCTGGAGCCTGAGAAAGCTGTGGGGTCTGGCTTATGGCAGCCCGCCCTGGCCTGGCTGATCCCCCGTGGCTCCTTGTCTCCCTCACAGGGGCCTGTCCCAATGCCCTGGCCCGGCAGAGAGAGGCAGCCGCCCGCCTGCTGGAGGTGCTCGAAGATCTGGACAGAGCCCATGAAGAGTTCCAGCAGCGGGAGCAGCAGAAGGCAGCCCTGGGCCCCCTTGGGCACTGAGGAGATGCCAGAGCCAGCCTGGAAGGAGGTGGAAGGAGCCAGCGGGCCCTTCTCAGTGCACCCCGGCCCCTTGAGGCTGTCCTATACCTCGTTGATGCTGTAGGGTAGAGGCTTCTGGAGATCTCCTAGTCTCTGTGCCCTAAGTCCAGAACCCCAGGCATAGAAGCCCTCTGGCGGGGGGCTGGCCTTTGTACTGAATGAATCTCAGTCTCTGGGCTGAGGCAGATGGGCGTGGATGGGATAAGGAGTCCGACTCATTCGGCTCAGTGGAAGGTCTCTGCTAAACCAGACTGGCCTCTGCCCACACCGACCAAGCCAGCCTGGTCCTGAGCTGCTGGATACAGCTGTACGTGAATTCCCGATACCCACGTGGCCTTGTTGCCCCAGACAGGCACTAAAGAGGCTCAGCCCTTCCTGTTTTCATGTCTGCCAATCCGTGTAACCTTACTGATCCTCCTGAACCCTGCCTTGGCTGAGAGTCCTAACCACAAGCTTCCAGAATCAGGTTCCCTCGGGAATAACGGAGGCTTGGACCCCAGTGTGCCAGACTCAGATCCTTGGATCCTGGGAGACCTTGGGCTAGGTTCTGATCCCCTCTTTGAGCCTCAGTTCATGCTGTATAAAATAAGGAGGGAGTGTCTAGATGTGTGGTTGTCAAACTGGGTTCCACGGGGCTGGCTTGGGAGCCAGGGAGGGGTTTCTTAGACTGTGGTCCAAAACTCACCCCCTAGGTTGTCTGCTAGAAATTCAGATTGTTGGACCCCACCCAGATTTACTAAATCAGAATCTGAGGGAGTGTGGGCACAGGGATCAGGATTTTTAACAAGATTCCCCGGTGATATGGTCGAACACAGGATTTGATGATCATGGGGCTGGGCAATTATGTATAGTAAGGTTTGAAGTGAGATTTTGTTTGAGAATGAATCATAGAGGGTAAAATATTTGGGAACACCCAACTGGCAGAACTGGAAGGGCCTCCAAGGACTCATTTCTGGTTTCGTGTGACTAGAGTGTGGGACAAAAACCAAAGCATATCTGGAGATGAGGGGGATCCGGAAAGATGCGGCGCTATCCCAAGTGTGGCCAGCAGGGGTCGCCTGGAGCCACAGCATCCGCCACAGCCACCCAGCATCCTGGGATGCTGCCGAGCGGATGGGAAGCTTGTTGCAGATCCTGGGATCTGTCCCTAGACAGAACCGGGCCCTCCTGCCGTAGGGCAGGGGCTGGGGCTCGAGGAGCCAGTCACGGTGTATCCCAGCTCCTCCAGGTTTTCCCGTTGGCTCTCAGCTCCCAGCCCAAGTCCCTCATTCCCAGTACTGTGACGGGCAGCAGCTGTGTGCATTGTCTTGTGCCTTGCTTGAGAACAGCACCTTCAGCCCTGCCCTCTTGGGGACTAGGGTTGGGAGGGTCTGCCTCTGTCACCTTCACACTCCCTGCGTACCCCAAGACAAGAGAATTATGGGGACCCTCAATCTCCTGCTGCCCAAGGCTGAGAGGGGCAATGGTCCTGGGGTCATCATTTTGTTGTAAGCTCCCCGATGGGGTGGGCCAGAGTCCCCCAGGAACAGAGCCACCCACCCCCCCACCCCTCTTGGCAGGAAAAGACTGAGTGAGGAGGAGAAAGACCATTTATTTCTCCACCCACAGTGGGACTGGTAGGTTTTCAAAAGAGCAATTGCTTGCGTCCCTTTAAATCTTGGCTGACTTCCACCGTGGCAGCCAATCAACAGAGGCGGAGCTGGTGAGTTGCCTGGGCAACAGGCCCCTGGTTGGCCAAGACCATCAGCCACCCCACTGCCCACTCCCAAGGAAAGGGAAATGGACTCTTTGCTGTCCGGTCTGCTTTTTAGACCTGCTGGCCTAAGCTAGGCCTCCTCATCTTGCTCCTGAAGCCAGAAGCTTCAGCCTTTGGATCTTGATGTTTGGGAGTGATTTGGTGGAGAGGATGGGGTGGGGAGGAAAGGAGAACAGTGCTTTATCTGGGACAGACATAAGGCCTGGGGATGGGAGGGGAGAAGGACGTCAGAGTCCCAGAAGGATGAAGAGACACAAGCACAAAATAAGATCCCGCTGGTCCCCCTCTCTCTGGCCTGCCCCTTTGCTAACCTGCTGACTAATCTGGGGCTTCTACCCCATGGGCCCACAACTGCCCATCAGGGGGTGGCAGAGATGGGTGACAGAGATGGGGGGGGAGGCTAAGCTTCCCAAGGGCCCTTTTCCCCCTCGAAGCCCCAGCAGGGCCCCAGGTGTTTGACCTGAATCCCATCTGCAGACAAGCTGTACGGATATGATAGAGACACAGATGGGAATCCATATGGGGTATCACAGGGGTCTTCTGTCTCTTCCCCCCCAGTCTGGGGTTAAGTAGAGGCACGTGGGTGTGCGTGCATGTGTTCAACAGGACACGTGTGTTTGCATGAGGGGGTGGGGCTCTGTCTTTTTGGTAGGGAGGTTGCTGTGGTTCCTGGTACTCTCTCTGCCACCCTCTCGGGAAGCTACAAGTCGGAGCCGGCTGGCCTGCCATCCTCCCAGCATATTCCAACTACCTCCAGCCACATCTCCAGAAAGCTTCTGGCTCCTTCTGCAGGCTCCTCCCCAGCCCTGAACCTGGGCCACCAGGACACACCTGGCGGAGGGAGGCAAGTGCCGGACCAGGGGGCCAAGCAGGAGGGAAGGTGGGCAGCCTCTGGCCTCAGGCCTTGGCTGCAGCCTCGGACACGCCCTGGGCTGTGAGCTCGGCCAGCACGTTGTCTAGGTAGCTAGCGTCCGGGTAGCCGTGGCCTGTGAGGTTGGACCCAAACTCGGTCTTGTGGTGGATCTCGTTCCACACCACAGTGTCCGACTCTCCCGTGGTGTTGGACGTGCCGATGGTGAAGATGAGTCTCCGCTCCCAGGCGGTGATGAGCAGCCTCAGCACCTGGCGGGTAGGCACCAGGACAGGCGCGGGGGTGAGGGGAGGGCCCGGGCAGCCCCGCCCTGTGGCTGGAGCCCCCTCCTCCCCCAGCCCAGCCTCCCTCCCTCCCTGGCCACACTGTGCTTTCTAAGCCTGCAACATTACCAGTGGCCGCCCAGCATGACCACTTCCCTAGATGGACTCCCAGTAAGAGCTCTTTCCAGGTTATCTGCCTGTTTCATCTGGGTCTCAAATTGAAGGCCCTCAGCTGTGTCTGGTTTACTAAATAGCCATTTTGTGACTTCTTTGGCAATGTTCAAAAACCTGGAGATTTTACATGAAAATCAGGAGATCCGGCTTCTCTTGAAAAACAGGAAGTGAAGCCGACAATCCGGAGTGTGGTGGAGAAGAGCTTGGACTGCTTGGGTTGAAATCTAGGCTCTCCCACTTACTAGCTGTGTGACCTTGGGAAAGTCACTTGCCCTGTCTGAGGCTTCTGTAAAATGGGGTCAAGACCTTGACCTCACCAAGCTGGAAATGAGATGGGGGGTGTGAAGCAACTGTCAGGGCTGGACTCGCACTAGGAGGTAGTGGTCGATGCTGGTGCAGGGAGGAAACAGGGATTGGGGGTGAGGGGGACCCTGGCCAGCTCCCCCACCTCTGCACCCTCAGAGCACCCACCTTCCGGCCCTTCTCATTGTTGGGCAGATAGCAGTGGCGCGGGAAGCCTCTTGCGGTGAACTTCTTGCCTGGGTTGGGGTGCTCGGGGCCCTGTGGGGAGGGGAGCAGGTGCTTGAACCATGGACAGGTGTGGGGGGGGCCTCTGCAGGGTTCAGAGGAGTTGAGGCCAGAGGGGCGGGAAGGGGGGGGGCTCACCTGGATGCCTGTGGGGATGTCGTAGACAATGCGGATGGTCTGGGTGTCAGCGAAGCCCGGCAGCGAGTGGGGGATGAGGTGGAACTCCATCTTCCCGGGCGGCTGAGTGCCCGTCTTCTCTCCATAGATGGCCTTACAGGTGGGGCACTGCAGGCTGCCATCCTGGGGCGGGGGGAGGCTGGCGGTGAGGCCCCCAGGTATCCCGGCCCCGCCCCTCCGCCTGCGCCCCACCCACTGGCTCCACCCACTGGCCCGCGCGGCCCACCTTGTTGCCATTGGAGTACATGGCCACGAGGCACAGCAGGTGGTACATGTGGCCGCAGCGGCCCAGGCGGCCCACAAGCTCGGGCCGCACGCCCTTGTGCCGAAGCACGCCCTCGTAACCGGATGCTGTGACCAGGCGCTCCATGCAGATGGTGCAGTCCTGTGGGCGGGGGCACAGAAGGGACACTGAGGACTGGCCAGGGCAGGACACCCTCAGGTCAGCGCTGCCCCTGGGAGGCCCCCAAGGGTGGAAGATTGCCCCAGCCTCCGGTACCCATTTGGCAAAGGGAGAGGACACTCCCATATACTGAATGCAGATACATGGCAGAGGAAGACAGGGCTCCCTGGCACCCCCCTCCAGAGGGATTAAAGGCTTAACTATAGAAAGCAAAACTTAAACATGGGGTGGAAAATACGGGTGAAAATAAGATACGAAAACTGTCACTCATCAGGAGACTGAGAAACGTGATTCTATTAAACCTGTTTATCAGAAGACATTGCATAAAAGAGAAAAGGCGTTGGGGCGCCTGGGTGGCTCAGTCGGTTAAGCGACTGCCTTCCGCTCGGGTCATGATCCCAGGGTTCTGGGATCGAGCCCCACATCGGGCTCCTGGCTCAGTGGGGAGTCTGCTTCTTCCTCTCCCTCTGCCTGTCCCCCTGCTCATGATCTCTCTCTCTCTGTATCTCTGTCTCAATGAATAAATAAAATCTTTAAAAAGAGAGAGAGAGAAAAGGTGAACCCCCAAACTGGGAGGAGAGACTGTGACACACAGAAACACGGGAGAGGGTGTAGAGGATGGGAGGTCAGGGGCTGGGGAAGCCAGGTTGCCCCCTCTGCCCAGGCCAGGACCCTCCCGCGGGGGCTCACCTCATCGGGCGGGTTCTTCACCTTCTGCATGTACCTTCGGACCACATCCTCGGGGTTCTTACCTGCAAGGACACAGCGGGGTAGGCTCGAGGGTGCCTAGAATCTCCCCCTGAGGGCTTGGCTCAGGATGGGGTCAGGGGTCAGGGAGGGGTTGGCAGGAGTCACCTTTCAGCGGTGGCTGCAATCAGAGTTGGTGGCAGAGGGGGTCGGGGGGAAGGGAGCTGAGAGCAGGAGATGGAGGTGGAGTTCTAAGTCCTAAGAACAAATTGGAGGTTGGGGTCCGAGGAGTTGGGGTCAAGAGTTAGGTTAGTGGGGTCAGGGTCGGCGCGGAAGGCGTACTCTTCTTGAGGTGCTTCTTCTTGGTCTTGCGGCACAGCCCGGGCACGCCGGGCACGGGCTTGACGTCGCTCTTGCTCACGGGCGGCGGGTGCAGGATGGGCTTGGGGGCCCGCGTCAGGCACACGGGCAGGCCCGCCGCACACAGCAGGATCCCGGTCATCCCTGGGGAGAGGGCGGGGCCGTCAGGGGGCGTGGCGCCCACCTGGTCCCCGCCCTCCCTAGTGGCAGGGTCCAGCGGTAGGGGCGTTTCCTCTGGGCCCCGCCCACCAGACCGCCAGGGGGCGGAGTCACAGGGCGGACAGGTGGGGCCGCCTCCTCGTGGGCCCCGCCCTTCTGTCCCTCCAGGGCTGGATCTCACCTGCTAGGGCCGGATGGACCGGCCCGGTACCGTTCAAGTTCTTCACCGGGAGCGCGGGGACCCTGAGGGGAGAAAAGAGGCCGCAGCTGGACTGTAGCCCCACACACCAGAAGATCAGGGGATCCTGGTTTGCATTCTGACTCCTGGGCATACTCTGACTTCTTTGTGCCTGTCCCCGTCATTTAGAATGATCACCAGGGATATAGACACCCTTCTATTATGGGGCGGGGTGTGATTGGGATCTCTGCCCCAGTTATAATGTAATGGATCCCTAGACTTACTCCTTTCTTCCCCACTCCTCAGCTCGCCTCCCTTGCAAGAGCTTGGGGTCCAACAGTTCCCTTCTACTGGCCACTGTGCCTGAAACCCAACTGTGAGTGATGATGTAGCCATTCCAACATTTCTCCCCATAAAAGGTTCTGGGAAAGAGGCATTCGGGGATCAAATAAGTTATGAAACACTTCACTGTCTCCTTGAAAATTCACAACATATATGAGCACATTGAAGGCTCTGATAAGTCCTGCATAAAGAAATGTGATTAGGAATGATAAATCCAGGTTTTCCAAAGACATTTTACGATGAACATGTTTTTCCCCTCTCGAAGATCTACTGATGTCAGTTCCTATAATTGAGGCATTGCCCCTCTTCAAATGAAGAGGCCTTAGGAAACCATAGCCTGCTTCCCCTCTTTGCCCGCCCCCACCAAAGAGCTCTGGCTTTTGAAATCAGCCAGAGCTGCCCTCATATCTCAGCTCAAGCACTAACTGGCTGGGTGTCACATAGCACAGTACCTCTCATAAGCCCGCCTCCCACCTGTAAAATGGCACCGTCCTTATGTTTGCTGTGAGGAGTCCATGAAATTCTGCACATCAAGGGTCCAGAAGAATTCCTGGCACCTAATAAAGACTTGAAAGGCAGTACCCATCACCAACACCCCACTGATGCGTAAGCCTGGCTGAGCAGTTTCACCTCTCTGCACCTCAGCCCACTGAGTCACAGTGTATCTTCCCTTCCCCTTGGAGAGGAAACCATCAAAGTATTGCAGTGACAAGCTTGGGCAAGTCACTGAACCTCTGTGACCCTCTGTTTCCTCATCTGTAGAATGGGGATAGTCATACCTCACCCCCAGGGCTGCTGGGAGGGCGGAATGAGAAGGGTTGCGGCAATCTGCATACCGTGCCCATCTGAGGCTTCACAACTTCAGCGCTGGGTTACATAAGTGAACTGTGGTCTGGCTGCTGAAGCGCTGGATGGATAAGTCTCAATGAAGACGTGCGTTCTCAAAGCCAGGGGAGCCAGAGGGGCTTGGGAGACGTGCCAGGAGGGTGTGCAGGAAGGGATGGGGGCAGGGACAGCTGGGGAAGTTGCTGCTACCACCCCCTTTGCCTTCCTGCTAAGGTCTGAGCCTGGCCAGGGCTGCCCGGTCACTGGCCCCTGGCAGGCACAGTCGATCGCGGGCAGCCGGCTGGAAGCATCTTTAAGCAAATGGTATGCTTGGCAGGCTTGGGCGCAGCTGCGGTGGATCCAGAAACACACACACACTCCTGGGGAATAGGCACTCTATTTCCAAGCACACATATACAAGTGTTACACATGACACACATACAAGTACACACACCACACATACAAGTACACAGATACACACACATAACATGGAGAACACTGCACGAACAGGTACCTCCCCCCCCCACACACACATCCCAGGAAGCTCCTTCCCCAGACACAGACACAGAATACATGTGCGTGGGGAACACAAAGCCACAAACATTTGCACGCAGACCCACAAACACACCAACACACTAGGGAACACTTACCATGCACACATATATCCAAAGACACACACAGACGGATCTCAGGGAACACACCCCTCGCAAACATGCACGGATTCAGATGCACACACACACTCCTGCATGGTAAACACTACACGTGGAGGCGCACCCATGCACACGCCGTGAGGGCATGCCATCAGACAAGAGAAGCCAGCGCCTGCAGCCACACTGCACATGGGACACGTGCAGACCCACAGACACACAGCTGCTTGGCTGGGAGGCCCACACTTTGCACAGAGTCCTATGCACCCATCACCGCACACAGCCTCTCCACTCTGCCTGCTCAGCAACACAGACTTAATCTGGGTCCCCTGCAGCACTCCTCCCAGAGCCTTCTGAGGGTGTGGAGAGTGTCTGGAGCAGAGTCGGGGTCATTGAACACTTTGGTGGCCTGAACCACTGAACACAGCCCCGGAGGGGGCTGCTATTGGCGGGCAGGTACCATGGGACTCCCAGCACCTGGTCAGTTGAGGTGTGTGTGTGCAGAAAGGTGCTGTGCCTCAATTTCCCCATCTGTAATGGGGATAAAGCCTTGTGAGGGTTCAGTGAGTTAAAACATGCAAAGCTCATAGTTTGGTGCAGGGGTGTGAGTGGAGAAGGATTTCCTCCTTCTAGCAGCCTGCTGGGACCCAAGAGATGGGGCTGAGTTTCCATCTGACCCTCTTGGGGCCTGTCATAATCCTCCAGGACCTTCCTGCAGGGTATCACCTAATCTCACCCCTTCCCCTACTCTTACGGGAAAGCAAAGGGGCATGTACCTCAAGTTTCTCCTCTTCCCTGTCCTGTCCTTCGAAAGAGTTCTAGTGTAGGCACAACACTAAGGACCTCAATATGTCCAGGTCTCCCCTACCTCCTTTCTTCTTTTGTCTCATAAAAAAAAAAAAAAATCCTTCCTCTTCTCCAGGGCTATCTGTAAATGGATGGCAAGAACAATATTTAGTATGCAAACCACTACTCCTTGTCTCCTACCTGTGGCAGACATCACTAATCCATCACAGCACTCTCAAGCTGAGCAGAATCTTCAGCACAGCCTCTGCTAATCAGTGAGGACAGTTCACTACCCCAGGTCTATCTGATGTCCAGCATCTGGTCCAGCTCATGACCTTGGTCTTGCTGAGTCTTTGGCCTGGGATTTAGGCAGGGGGGCACCTCAGAAAGGGAAGGTTTCTAAATCTCGGCTGCCCTACAATGTCTGGCAACGCTTAAAAACCACAGAGCCCGATTTACAAAAATTTGTCTTGCTCCTGGGAAGGTTGTGGATAGGGTGTGACAGTGGGGCTGGTTTTTATTTACTCATCATGAGCTAGGGAACAGTGTGAAGGCAGCCCCCAGCCTCTCTGAATCTGCAGGCCCCCTGAGAGAACCCAGGGTGACAGGTTTCCCACGATGCCCGAGCGTGGGAGCCACCCGGGGCCCCCTTTTGATGTGGGACGCACTGTTTCCTCCGAGTCAGCGAGCACATCCTCCTGCCCTGGACAAGAGTTTGCTGCCCGCAGGCCTCCCGGAAGGGGGGCCGGTCTGCACTCTCTGCTCCACCCTCTTGGGGCCCAGCCTGACAAAGGGTAGTAGGAAGCCATCAGGCCCCCTTGAGATCTGCTCTGCCCAGAAGACAGGCCTGGCCACCCCAAGGTGGAGATGGGTCCCACTGCCACGCTGGTTTTCTTGCTGTCTTTCCCACCTCTGCATCAGGTCCTGTTCTTCCTCTGCCCTCAACCCTGCACAGATCCTACCTTGCTCAGAGTAAAAGCCAACCTCCTTACCCTATGTGAGATAGCCAATACCTACCCCTTGAACTCTGTTTCCCCTGTGGTCACCCCTCACCCATTCTACCCCAGCCTCCCTGTTCTTCGTGTTGTTCCTCGAACACACCAGCCACATTCCCACCCCAGGGCCTTTGCTCTTGCTGATCTCTCTCTCCCGGAATGCTCTTCCCCCGATATCCTCACGCCTTGGTCCCTCACTTAACACAGATTTATGCTCAAATGTCACCTTATCAGAGACCTTCCCTACCATTTTACTCCAGAGAAATCTCTGTCTTTGCATTACCTTATTGACTGATTGATTGTCCTAGCACTAACCATGACCTGATTATAAAGTCTTTGGTCTGACCAGGCCCTCCCTGCCTCTGTGACCTCATCTCCTACCCATTCCATCTCTCTTCTCTGGACACATCTGCTGTGGCTCTAACCCACGGAGCATAGTCCCCTGTCAAGGCCTTTGCACCTGCTGTGCCCTCTGCCCCAAGGCTTTCCCCCCAGATGCTGAATGGCTCTCCTAGTTCACCTCCTCAGAGAGACTTTCCTTGACCACCTGACTTCAACCCTAGTATACAGCACATAGCAGGTGTTTGATAAACACTTGTTGCATGAAGAAAGGGAGGCTGAATTTGGTGGGAACATTCTGAGCAGGTGACTCATGAGCACATGCTCAGGTGCATTCTCCCCATGGGTTCTCTGCACATATTTGAAGTGAGCCTTGAAGCAGGTGTCCCAGAGAAACACCATCTGCAGCCTCTAGTCCCCTGGAGCTTCTCTGCCGGTACTCACACTCAGGTGGCATCCTGCCCAACAGCCAAAGCAAACATCCCCTGAGAAGTTCCCAGAAATCCTCCACATCCCACTTGGGGCAGAGGTTTCATGGTTAGGTTTTGGGGAACCTGGGCATTGCACAGAAATTGTCTTAGTGAATGTGCCACACAGAGACAGACAGTGGGGTGTTCTCCCTGGTCAAAAATTCCAGGTACTCACTATGGGTCCGATGCTGTTGTCCTGCTTCACTCCCTCATCTAATCGTACCCCAAAGTCTGTGATATCCATCTACAGAGAGTGAAAAACTCCGGCCCAGAGAGCTGAAGTAATTTGCCAGTGGCAGAGCCAGGATTCCAGCCCAGGCTGTCAGACTCCAGAGTCTGTGCTCTTAGCCATATGACAGAACCAAGTTCCCTCACCATGGCTTAGCGGCCCAGGCAGGAGGCTCTGTCTTAGAGAAAAACCCCCGGGATTAGTCTGGGAAAGAGGGGTGGGGTGTTTAGGTTTCCTCCTTGCCAAGGAAGAGCAGAGATGCTTCATATCTATGCTGGTTGGAAGGCAGTGCTCAAAGGCAGGGTGAGATAATGTGAGATTTTCCTAGCTGCTGTTCCTCACACTGTTCCCTGCCTTTTTCCTGCCTGGGCACCTCTGCCACACTGTTCCTCCTGCCTGTCCCTACTGTCTATTCCCAATTCACATCTGTTC